TTGTCTGAACCCAGAATTGTAGTTTACATGGACATAGAACGCAAATATCACAGATTCCCCTCGAAAGAGCAACAACTGCTGGAGCTGCTCCAACTACACTTCTGTGGGTGGATCAGTGTGGAGGAGGCAGATGACAGGCAGGGAGTGATGCACCTTGGGACTGAATTTCAGGCACAGTAGCTGATGGAATATGTGACAACTACTGGAAAACTAAGTGAATTGTTTAGGGTGGTAGAACTTTAAAAACAAAGCAATAATAGAAATTTCCAGATGAGCTAGGCTGCTGAAATGAGTAAAGCTTGGTGAAATCAGGAGTAGATTTTAGTTTCTAGTAAATTTCTAGTATGAGAAACAAATTCCTAGACTCAGAATGTGCTGAGAGGCAGATCGTTTTTTAATTCTGTAATGCAGTCTGCATGAACTCGGTGAGGTAAATAAGCCAGGGTTATGGTGTATGATAGGCAGGTGGGTATGGCAACCCTCAACCCAAGAACATCCCATGAGTTACTTGAGGGTTACTGCCACCCCAAACAAGTGATGCTACCTCAGTTTGGATGACTCAGCAAGCTATCCTAGAAAAAGTTAATAGGGAACTTGAATGGTGAGGGCCACTGTGGTGTAGTGGTTAAGAGCACGAGACTGGGACTCAGACGATCTGGGTTCTAGTCCCCGCTCAGCCATGGAGCCAATTGGGTGACTTTGGGCCAGTCACAGCCCAGACTCTCAGCCCAACCTACCTCACAGGGTTATTGATGTGGGGATAAGATGTAGGAGGAGATGTAAGCTGCCTTGAGCCCTTTGTAGGAAAAAGGCAGGATATAATTCGAAAAATAAAGGTGCATGAGGCTTGTTAGTTGTGCTATTTTCATGTGGACTAAGTCACTGCCTTTTTCTAGATAGTTCTTTAAAGTTGATGGAATTGAGTTCTAGTAAAAACAAAATCAATATGACAAGCTTGAAAGTTTGCCCATTCCTGGGATAGAGGCAAACATTATTTTAGTTTTTCAATGTATTTCCCTTGCAAATTCTAAAAGCTTATTGTGTCTTTCACAGATTGATATTGAAATTAATGGGGAAGCTGTTGATCTTCATATGAAATTGGGTGATAATGGAGAAGCTTTCTTTGTGCAGGAAACAGAAGAAACATTTGTAAGTAGTATAAGATAAAGCTCAACATGTATTCTAATACTCCTATTCAACTGGGCATATTTTGTGCACTGGATAAGAAATTAGGAAGAATTTGCCACCTGGAATAAGGAACTAGGTTTTTTCCTTTAAAAATACATGAGAAAAAGAGAGTAAAATAATAGAAACAAAAATAAATACTGTTTTTCTGGGTATTTTTTAACCATATACTTCTGATATATTAAAGTATCCTTTTACTCTCCCATTGCTTGCAAGCCACTTCACTTTTTCTAACTTTCCTTCTTTTTCCTTTCCCCCCTGAATATTCCTTCATTAGTTCTTATTTTCTGTTTGTTCTTTGTTTTCATGCTTGTTTACTGTGTGTGTCTCCCCTGACCTTTTTATCAGAAAAAATCTCAGATGGGAGATGTTTATGAATTTGGCCAGAAGGCTGCATCAGCAGCTTGGGGAGAAATACAGAATGCACCCTGATAAGACTTGACAAAATCTCATTATGCATATTAGTCCCTTTGCTTAGTAAGGAATTACTTAGCATTTTTCATTACTACTTTTGGGTCCCAATTAATGGCATCTATTATCTATAACTTGGCCTACACAATATTGTAATAGCAAATATATGATGCTGAGATACGAAAAACAATAATTCAGCTTGCAATGTGTGTGTGTTTAAAATATTATTATACTGTGCTTCATCAAAATGGATTTCAGGGTCATCTACAAGGTTAAAAAATACATATGTATATCAATGAAACAACAGATTAAAGATGAGTTTAGCAGAGAGAGGTGCAGTTGACAATGCATTGTTGATGTTAAGGCATTCCTATATCCATTTACCCATTTAACTAAATGAGGTTTACTTCAATGTAATCCTGATAGAATTACACTATAACATACTTGAAAAGTTTGAACAAATAAAAAAAGTTTCACCTGATTTACCAGGTGAATCTCTGGAGTGGGTGAGAATTTCACAGCTGAAAAAAACCTGGTCCCTAACTGCCATGTGCTTCAGTTTGAAGTCAAATGGAAAAGGCCATCGTCAGATGACTGTACAGCATGGACAGGATGATATGAATGTAGGTGATACTAGATATTGCTAAGGGCTATAAACATAAGCACAAGCACATTATGTTAGGGTTAAAAGTTTCTTTGCTTCTCCTTTTCTACTGTGATGCACTTTTTCAGCTTGTTAGCCTAATGCTAGAGTCAAAACTTTGTTTACTTTGGTAATTTATTTGGGCCTGTATTAGTTATTGTTTAGAGTCACTAATACATGCCAGTTATGAACATATTGTTCATTGTAACAGTGACATTATTTTGTTAAATATTTTCCTATTTTACAAGTAGTTTCTGAGCAACTTTTTCTTGGAAAATCTTATCAAAGAGACTATTTTAATGTTATAAAGCTCTGTAATTTCTACCTTGGTTTATTCACTTATGCATTGCTTAGTCATGATGCCTTGTATGTTAAGAACACAATGTTTTACAATACAATGGAAGTGGTATTTTTCAATGAAGAGGTAAGAAAAACTGTTAGAAGTCCAAGAATTTGAGCTGTGTTGTTATAATTGCTTTAGCTTGCAGTCTTAAAAAATACGTATTAGAAAGTAGACCCCACTGGATACAGCAAGACTTGCTTTGAGTGGGAACTGCAAATTTTAGACTGGAACATATACAAACAGTCCCAGTCCAAATCTACCCAGTTTCCACTTAAGCACCCTCTTTTAAAGGGACACAGAGTTGTGACAACTGTTAAACCTGTTGAAACTTGTTTTCCCTTGAAAAGAGGAAAGTACATATTTCCAGTTTCCTGAGCACAAACTGAGTCTTGGGACAAAGTGTAAAACATGCACTTTCATAGAAACTAAAGGGAGGATATATATTTTTGAGGATCTTGCTGAGAAGGAGGCTTAAATCCTTCATTTTTCAGCTGAAGATTCCTTATGCCTTTGGTTGTTCTTCACAGCTCATCTTCTGACAGCTGTCAAGAAAAAAATAAAGAGGAAAGATACATTCAGGGCTTGTTCTAAGTAATGTCCAAAGCTGGTACCTGCTGCGCTTTGGCAGTACGACATTGTCCCAGCAAAGGCTTCAAAACCCTGCAATCACACAACTTCAGCTAGAAGAAATTCTTTTTTTTTTTTTTTTGGTGTACATTTTTAAAAAGAAACTAATCTGAATAACTACAGGCAGCTCCTCCAAGGTGCCACTGGGCTGCTTAGCTTTCTCATCTTCACAAAAATAACAAGATAGGAAGAAGAATGTTGTGGCAAACCTGAAAGAATTTGCAGTAGTGGTGTAGAGGGTAGTAAGTCAGTGCCAGCTGCTCCCAAGTGCCATTTTGGCACTTTGCTTGTGGTTTACATTGGTGCTCACCTAGGAGCTCCAAAGCAAGAGCAGCAAGGGTATTTTACTGCTCTTGCCATGTGGCTTGCATACCAATTACTCCTACCTACAATGATGTCTGGGTTTGGACAACACACAGTAACCCAATCATGGCTAGAACAACTCCTATAATGTGCCGTGATTGGTATATCCTATTGCCCATGTTCAGGTTACTCTGGCAGAAATGGCCAGAGTTGTTCTGTCATGCAAACCATGTCAATGAATGCTCCAAACATGAGAAATACTGTGACATTCTCAGTCATATTGTGTGACAGCTAGACCCTCTGAGGTACACCTGTAAAAATCAGTATTCACTTGCATACCCCTAAAAAGATCATAGAATGGAAGGAAGGGACCATGAAGGTCATCAAGTCCAACCCCCTGCTGTTGCAGGACACCAGTTTACACCATTCCACTCAGATATTTTCGTCTTCCCTTCAGGCAGTATTGAATATGCAACTGGATGCTATGAATCAGATGTAAGTGATGATCAACATAGTTTGTTTCCTGAGTTTCTGGGTGTCACAAAATATATCTGGAATTATCAGGATTCACACAGGAATTTAGACATTCAGTGCAATGCATCTGCCAGATATTGTAATGGTTTGATAATGCATATAACAGGAAACTGACATTCTTGCCTGAACCCATTTTTAGGAAAAAGTTCCTGCACATCTGGCAACATCCCCATTACCCACAGAAGAGCAGTTCTTCAAAGATACTGATAATTTGCTGAAGTCAGGTGAAAATGAAAAAATGTGTCCAAGTTCAGAAATTCCACAAATTGTGGAAACAGAGCCTGTTTTTTCTTCTGGGTCAGTGAAGAAGAAAAAACGGAGGAAAAGAAAATGTAAACAAGAATCTAAAAAGGAAGATCAGATTTCTTTTCCGGGAACTGAAGAAGTCTTTGACATAGAAATGAGTTCAGATGATGAGAGAAGTATTCAGCCCCTGAGGTAAACTTTTAAAGTGCTTCCTTATTTTGCCAGATTGTCTCATTACAAAAAGTTCAGCAATTCCATTGCTCGAAATTCCCCCAGTTCATTAAAATGAAGAATCTCCAACCTTTTTGGACTCATGGTTATATCTGGGAATTTAAGAAATTGCTGTGGACATCACCACAAATTGCCTAATTAAGTGGATTTCTGCCTTGTCTAGGCTATGCCATATTCAGCAAAAACCTTTGTTTTATGTCTATTTAAGAAGGAATTATATAATTTGGCTAATCACTGGTAGTGCAGCACAGTTAATGTGGCTTTTAGATATACATTTTGGCTATGTCCAGTAGTTTCTTCAATTTGAGAGGAAATTAATAGACAAATTCTGTACAGAAACAGTCCTTAATATTCAGTGATGTACATGCGCCTTTAAATTATTTGCCTTCTTCATGGGAACTGACAAAGAAGAAATGAATTTTCTTTACTCTTTTGAGCTGTTGCACTGCCATAAATTAGCTGAATTAGACAATCACTTATTCAATTAATGATGTAGTGTCCAATAGAGGTGAAACAAAAGTTTCTGGTGAATACAACAGAGCCTAAAATCTGTATATATGAGAGATATCTGTATGTACACTTAAGGGGTGATCTGCTGATCAGGCATTTTGTGGCAGTACCCACAGCAGTTTATCAAATTCCTGAATGTGCATGCCCGTGGGACCAAAACATGTTGGGACTTTAATCTTTGGAAATTCAAAAGTCAGTAATAACTTACCTGTACCAATAAATTGCAAAACAGCTAATAGAAGGAATAATAAGAAGGATCTACACTGATATCCCTACTTAATATTGGCATAGTCAATACCAATACTATCATAATTATGACTTATTGCTTATTTTATTGCTTATTATATTGCTTATTTTATTATTGCTTATGGTCAAGTAAGATTCATAAAAACTGCCACTACTTGTTTAAAATTTTTATACAAGGACATAACTCATTAGCAGTATGTTAAAATGTATGGAATTTTGTAAAGGATACTTTTTGAGAATGCTAATTTAGAAATGATAAATTTGGTTATATTTTTTATTATCACAGGTGAAGCCTTTTTTAATAAGTGATTAAATGGTTGCATAATTTGCAAGTTTTGGTTGTAGTAAATGCTCATTTAAAAATATGCAACAAGCAAATAGGTGATATAATGCAATCTATGACTGACAGCGAATCCAGAGGTAATTTGGATTCTCAGAGGCATGCCATGCAGCTTTATCATAGCTCTGATGTGTGGGAATGTTGTGTTTAAAAATACTCATACAACACTTTTTCTCCTGTGCTCAGGCACAGGTAGAGGTTTTTCACCCCTCTCCTAAATATGCCTATGAGTGAACAGCTGAGGTACAATAAAGGAAGAGTTTTGTCCAAGCTTCTATTGCTGTTTACAGTGAGGGGAATGGGTCAAAGTGCTCTTTCCCTGCTGATTAGCTCACATGTGTGTGAGTCAGTGGGCAAAGTCAATATTATTGACTCTCCAGGCCCTGCTAATTAATATAGGCCTTGTTGAAAATGAGTTACTGATGTGTGGGGATTGGGGCTGGTCAGGCAATTTGCCCTTAATCTGCTTTGGTTTCTTTGGAACTGTCAGTTAAAATATGCCACCACAATTATTTCTTTTTAATAATCTGACTTTTATCTCCACAGAAGCCCATCAGATTCTCCACCAAAGGATGAAGATTTTAAGGAAGCACTGATTTACCATTCAAAAGACCATTACCCATTATCAGATGGGGATTGGTCTCCTTTGGAGAAGTAGGTTGCTTTCATGTGATACTCTTTCACATGAAGTATGGTGATATTATAGACTTATACTTTTCTAATACATTACAATATTAATTACAGTAAAGACAACATTGATTGTTTTTACCTTGGCTCTCCTTCTGTAGCCATGGTTTTATGGATCGTGCTGCTTAGCGCACAGATAATGTATCCTCCCTGCAATATCAGATATTAGATTAGCTTTCAGATAGTGTAAGAACTAATTTCTTTACTACCACTTGGAACTTTTTCTGATATATAGCTTTGGGTACTTTTCAGATGTCTTGAAATTGGCAAAATATTAGAGCTGCTTTGCTTTGGAACCCACACACACACACAAATTAATGTCAGGATTGGAACTGCAGCTGACATCATCCAGCTGTTTCGTCCACTGCTCTACTTCATCCACTGTTCACTTGGCCTCTTGAAGTGTATGGTCAGTAGCAAGAGTAAGGAGAACTGACATCAGCCTCTCCATATTCTTTATGACAATGGTGTGGATTAGTCCAGAAGAAGAGGGCAAGTGAAAGAGCAGTAGTGATACCAACAAGGAAGTGTCCTGCTAATAGCAGCTTTTCCCAGGGTTTGTTAAGATCTGCAGGCAGCAGTGTGTACGAGGGTAAAATGGTGAAGGGTAGAGAGTAGATATCTATATGGTTCGAAGGTAGATTGTGATCTACATAAATATTGGTGACTTCTCATAGGTACACAAATCCACATTGTTTAATTAATAGCAATAGCAGAATTGCTATGAAGTAAATAACAAATGAAACAAACTTGGGATAGCCAGATGAGGCCTTTTCAGTTCTGTTATTGAAAAAATTCTTAGGTAAAAGATGTACTTAGAGATACCCTGTCCTTTAATTTTATGTGGGTTCCTTTTGCACCTGATTAGTAGATCCTGGTGTTCTAGTAAAAATGATGTCTATCCGACAAGCTTGAAATCAGTGTACCCATGATCAACATCCATACTGGGCAAATCAGTGCACTTCCTGCATGCCTTTATGCTTCCTTTGTAGGAAAAATGGAAATTTATTGGGATACAATCTGGAGGAATCACTACATACATTTGATTTACCTCTAATGCACAATATTTTGGGAATCTCTTCTGCCAAGCATGTGGTTATATTGCCAAATGCTTACCTTACTCCAAATGTTCCCTGCCACTTAAAAAATGGTAACAAAGAGCTCACAACTATTTTGAGTATGAGATATAACTCATACGTAATATTGAAAAAAATTAAAAGAAACTGGAAGTATTTGTTTAGGAATGTTCATGTTTAACTCCTTTGTTGTGCATTTTAGTTTTAATCTGTCTCACAGTCCAAAAACTCAGCTTGGCTTTCTGCCCTATCCCTGAATAAGTGAAGCTCTGTTAAACTGGACAAAACTCTCCTTGAAACGAAGTGTACAACAAGTGCCTTGAAAACAACTTTTCTTTACTTTGACAGTCCATTTAGCCAGCCAACCTGTCCTAAAAGTGATTCAGAACTGGAAGTTAAGCCTTCAGAGAGCTTACTTAGAGCAGAGTCTCATATGGAATGGACATGGGGAGGCTTTCCGGAATCCACCAAGGTAATGCTTTTTGGAAATAGATTTGTTTGCTGAAAGTATTTTGGAAGTCAAAGAAATTCTCATATGTAGAAGAGTAGCACTGTTACAAATAATATTCCAATAGAAATAACATGAAGGGTGCTCCCTCTTCTGTTCATTTTGATCTATTTCTAAAAGCAGCTGTTTTTTCTAGTAACACAGTAAACTTGTTCTGCATGGCAGTGACTTAATAAAGGAGTATTATACATGGCTACAGTTGCATAATAATATACCTGTGAAGTCTGTTTGCTGCTTTTAAAGCGTGTGGACACTTTACTTGTATTAATTGTGTGTGAGGTTTTGTGTGTGTCAGGGAAGGGTGATGAATAGCTAGTGATGGTTGAACAAGTATGTTGCTATAGCCTTTGAGTCCCAGTTGATGACAGTTTGCAGTCCAGATTAGTGCTTTTTCTCTTATGGCTTAATAGTCTGGAATTTTTCAGATATAGACATTATTATAAGTGGCTGCCGTTATTACTCATGCATGCTTTAAATAGATGACCTGGTTCACATAACCACCAAACATGGGTGATCAGCCATGGTGGATTATCATGTTGTGAGGACAGAACATGGTTTCTGCAAGGTGGATTATTTTTCATTAAAAAAACCACCCCGAGGACTCATGGATTATTTGAGGGTTGTTCATTACAGAAAGGATATAGCCAAGTAGTGCAGTGTAGGGCCACAAGGTTGGTGGCCGGTTTGCAGGGGATGGGGTATGAGGCGAGACTGAGGGAACTGGGTCTCTTCAGTCTGGAGAAGAGGAGACTCAGAGGGGATCTGTTGGCGACATACAGGTATGTGAGGGGATGTCACACGGAGATGGGTAGAGATCTGTTCTCCCCTGCAGAGGAAGGCAGGACGCGCTCCAATGGAGCAAAGCTCAGGGAACCAAGGTTCCATTTAGATGCCAGGAAGCACTTCCTGACAGTTAGGACCCCGAGGGTGTGGAATGGGCTTCCACAAGAGTTGAGGCCCCATCAGGGAGGTGTTCAAAGATAGGCTGGACATGCGCATGGTGGGCATGTCGTGAGCGGAGCCGGCTGGAGCCGGGGGTTAGACTAGATGGCCCTGGAGACCCCTTCTGACTCGCTCTGTTTCTATGTTTCATACCTGTGGTAACTTGTTATATTGTCTGAACCCAGCAGGACATGAATGGCTAAGGAGCCACCCACCCAGGGTGGCAAACTCCACTCCTCACTGCTTCCCTCACTGTTGTTCATGATGCTGCCATCCAACCCGCATCCTTTCTCAACATCCCCCACTAAATGTTCCTAAAAACTGTGAAGAAAGGACACTGTAGAATGTCCTGAATGTGTTCGCAAGTTATATAATTCTTAGTGGGCTCGCACAAGTGCACAGGAGCAAATGGCAACTGCTTTAACATTTCTGGAATTTATCCCTCTTTTACAGCTTTGGCATAATATTTTTGTATGTTTTCTATCCCATTCACTGCTCTCTTACCCATATCAGTATGTGACAACTATGTGCTAATAGAAAGAAGTAACAAGCAGGAAGTAGGAGCAGGGAGCCAAAAGCAGCTGGAAAGTAGGTGCTTTTCCAGCAGATGTCCTTTCTCTGGGAGCAAGTGTGCTTAGTTTAGTATAAGATGCTGCAACTTTTTAAAAGTTTTGCTAGCTAGCAGTGTAAGCACCAAAGTTGAAGAGGGGAATAAATATCAGAGAGTTGCTCTCTTGCAGAACAGTGAAAGTCCCTGAAAAAAAGCTAGTAAATGTGTTACCATGTTCAGAAAATTAATTCTGTTTGGTTTTCTGATATGGGGGTGGGAGGAGCTTCCTTTGATAGCCAGCATACCAGTTGGAGAAAGGGTGCTCACATATGGACCAATGCAGCAAGGAGTCCTGCTGCCAGGTTTCCTGAGATACCTGCTGGATCTGGTTGAAAGCCTGAAAATGAAGGGGAACAATGAGGTATGCCAAGCCCACTTGTCCATTGGGAGAACCATGGTTGTTCAGTGAACAACCAACCTATTGCGGCTTCTTCACAGAGTACTCAGTGTGATGTGTGAATCTGCCTTTTGTGTTTTTCATACGTGTTTTAAATTACTTTGCCCATTTAGATTTTACATTTGAAACATTTCTCAAGGTTTTATTTACTCATTTTTTAATTGCTGCTAGACATTTCATCTAAGAATTAATGAATGAAAGCTCTAGAGCATGGGTCCTCAAACTACGGCCCATGGGACAGATCCGGCCCGCCATGGCCATCCATCTGGCCTACGTCACCATTCGCCGTCTGTGCACACGCTTGCTGTGCTGCCGGGGAGGTGGTGGCTCGCTCGCTCGCTCAGAGATGGCACTGCGGGGGCAGGGGTGTGTCTTGCTCACTCGGAGATGGTTTTGGACTTGTTGGGAGATCTCCCAGCTAGTTCAAAACCATCTCCGAGTGAGCAAGTCGCCGCCGCCTACCTCCCCCACGCACACGCGCTTGCCGCTGCCTTTCAGCACGGGCTAGAGACGGTGGCTTGCTTGCTCGGAGATGGTTTTGAACTTGCTGGGAGATCTCTGAACTGAGCAAGCCACCACGCGCGCCCAATGCCACCTCGCACGCACCCGGCAACGCCTCACCGGCCCTCGTGCCCACCCACCCCCACTGGCCCGCGCATGTAGCTGCCGCCTTTCTACTGGCCCCCTATTGAAAAAGTTTGAGGACCCCTGCTCTAGAGATTTCCGTTTGCCTTAAAAATGTCCTGTTTGTTTTACAAATGGTCCCCCTGCTATAATTGTATGGTTGGTGGAGCATAATTATAGTTGTCAGTGGGCAGGTTTCCATGACACAAGAAGCCATGATGAAATCTTACTGTTGTGGATCTGTTGTATCATCTGGACCCAGATCTGTAGTTCTCTGTGTTAAGATTAGTTTTTTGGAACCACAGAGAGAATCAGTGGTATGTTCTAAGTTTTTCACAGTTCACCATGGCTTTCCCAGTCATTGACATTTTACCGTTGTTCATATGGAAACATCACAGTGTCCCCTGCCAATAGTGAACCCAGAAGTCACTTTGTTCTTTACTGCCCTCAGCTCCCTAGCAACAGATATGTCATTAATCACTTTATTCCCATTGGCCAAGTGATACCTCTCTCACTCTGCTTACTTTTGGGAACAGGGAGACAGTGCAGAAAGTGCAGAGAGAGAGACGGGGGTGGGGGGATGTGTGTGTGTGTGTGTGTGTGTGTGAGAGAGAGAGAGAGAGAGAGAGAGAATGAGAGAGAGAGAGAGAGAGAGAGAATCTCTATGGGTGTTGAAGCAACTGGAGAGAGCTGCAGACATCTCTTGGGAGGGGAACCTGCCTCAGAACTGCAGCTGACCTCTTGGGAGGCAGCTGCTGTGATCCATAAGAAAGAACAGGAAAAGGATGGGGATTTCACCTAGGGTCTGCTAGGATATATGGCGAGGATGGGAGGATGGACTGGGGAGCATGGAAACTGTGCTGTCCAGGTAAGCACATGATCATCCGACCAGCAAATTCAGGCAAAAATCTTCATACCATGGATACAGTACAGGGTTGTTTGCTATGTCATGTGAACCCAGCAAGATCTCTTTAACTCACTTCACATGACACAGTGGGTTATTGTGGGTTAATTAATCCATAGGTTTAATGTTGTGTGAAGTAGGTTGGGCTGAGAGTCTCTGACAGGCCTGAAGTCATCCAGTGAACTCCATGGCTGAGTGGGAACTAGCTTATGGCTTTATGATGTATTCTTTTATCAAAGACAGGATTGTAGATTAACTGATCTGTTTGTGTCACCTGTTCAAGCTGATCGTATTGTTGAATAAGAAATACGATGAATGAGATCAAAACAGTTTTACAAAAAAAGATATTTTCCTTTTCAGATAAGCAAGAAAGAAAAACTGGAGCATCCTAGAACAGCTACCATTACTCCATCAGAGAAGACTCACTTTAGAGTAATATCCAGTACTGATAACACTAAAGATATTTTGGTGAATGAATCTGTCTGTACAGTTTTGAAACCTCAACCAAGAACTCATCCTCTATTTAAAGAACTTGATATTAAAGACAGACTTACTTCTGCAGCAACGGAACCTATCTTGGAAATTCTTCAAAATTCATCTACTTTTGATTCTGATACTGTCCCCAGTCTGATGGATTCTCCATCAGAAACTAAACCACCAACAAAACTTGACTCTCCATCAAAGAAAAAAGGTATGTATGTTTAATTTGATTCCTTGATAAGATTTAGAAATACATTTCTATTCATCCCAATTTCTAAATATTAACCATTTTCAAGTGATATGCAACAAATGTTTGTCATTAAATGTTTTCTTGTACCATTCATTTAGGATCATATAAATCTTACTTTTTAAGACTTTTCCTTGTTAGCTTTACACTCACTTCACATAAAATTGTTAAACTATGGAATTTTCTACCACAAAATGCTGTGAAGGCCACCATCTTGGATGGGTTTAAGGCTATCAGTGGCAACTAATCCAGTATCAGAGGCAGTGTAGCTCTCAACACCAGTTGCTGATAACAGGAGCGGGAGGATCCTGTTGTAGTCATGTCCTGCTAATGTGTTTCAGCAGGAAGCTGGTTGGCCACTGTGGAACACTGTGCTGGCATATTGGTATTATTCACCTTGCTTGCCTTATGTTTAGATACAGGAATCTCTTTGTTATTTTTGACTATCTGAAATATTAGATAAAATGTATCATCTGATTCAGAATGGAACTCTTCTGTTTTATGCCTCACCTGAATACATATTTAATACTACATTAAAATAATTTACATGGGTTCACACACAGTTTCTGTGGAATATGTGAAAATGCCCACAGTGGCTTGCATCATAAGCCTGTGAACAAAAGTAACCTTATGAGAAATGGCTTTCCCATTCTCTCCTGTAGCTTCCTGTACCCTCAAACCCTCTCTGTGGGTTCCCTGAGCAGTATGGGCTGGGGTGCAGGGGATCACCCAGAGCTAGATAGAGGCACATTGCATGGCTTACTGATTAACTTTCTGTTTGAGAAAATTTTGATTTTTATTTATCTACTTGATTTTTGTACCCATTAACCAATACGGTTTTCATGGAAGCATTCCAAATGTAAGGATTTTAATTAAGCTGTTTTCTTGTGCATATTTTGATAAATCAGTCTATTGTCCAAAATGAACTTTTTTGTCTTCCAGGGATACATAAGAGAAGCCAGCACCAAGGGCCGGATGACATATATTTGGATGATTTGAATGCTTTGGAACCTGAAGTTGCTGCTCTTTATTTTCCTAAAAGGTACTTCTGAATTGAGAATACACAGTATTTTACAGTGAATGTTTGTGAATCTAACAAAAGCTTTGGAATGGGAGAGAAGGCTAGAGACATGCCTATGACTTTCCTTGGGTTTTATTGATGGTGGTGTTAATGTAATCTTGTTTACTTGTTTATTTTTAATTTTTGCTATGATGTAAACCAATTTAAGGAAAACAATATGGAAAGAATTTAATCAGTGTGATGCTTTTGGGAATTGTCTGACTTTTAAGAATATTAATTCTTTAATGGTGATGTGCTATGAGTTGAATCTTTGATGTTTTCAGGTTAGCCCCATCCTGAGCCCAGCTCTTCTTTTTGGCTCCTCCCCATTGCCCACCCGTATGGGTGACTGTGAGCATTTTGGAGTCTCTGTTTTCTCACTCAGCAGGCAGTGGGGTGGAAATCTCTGAGCATTAGGTTTCTTGCAGTATAGTGTAGTTCAAGGAAAGCCACTAAGCACAATCTGAAGGTGTTGGAAATAGGCCCCATATTGAAGGCAGGTGGCTCCTGGCTACATTTGTTAATTAAAATTATATTGCATTGTGAAGTGTAGGAGAATTGAGAGGAAACTGCAGTACTTTGGGACAGCCTGGGGAGTTAAATAGTGTGTCACCCACTCAGCCACCTAGTGCATATATGAGTGCCCTCTACCTTCCATATTTAAGCTGCTATAACTCCCGAATCTGAACTGCCCATACTTCTCTCCCATTAACCTTTTCTAGGAAAATGGTCTACATTGCCTTACTGTAGAGTTACTCCTGACTCTTTCCTTTCTTCATGCAATGTCTAACTTATGTATGGAATTTATTTATGAAAACTTAGGGCTCAGTTGTGTGACTCATTGCAGTTATGGGTTGCTAACAGAAAATTCTTTACTGAATTCCAGGCCTATTAGCATAGCCTGAGGTGGCTCTATGGGTTATGCTGAGTTTTACATGGCTTGGCTTCTATAATTCCATTGTAAAGTCTGATTATATTTTTAAGCTAATGTATACAGTCAACATGTGTTAAGAGTCACATAATACGTTCTGTAAGTATTGCCAGGGCTGGAGCTTGTTTAGGGCAGAATTGTTTGAGGGCAACCGTACGTGCTACAGAAGTGGCTGAGACATTTAGTGCTTTGGGGAGAAGATTAGATTGCTTCATGAATAATGGCATGGCTAAGAGTGGAAATTCCATGTTCAGAAGCAAAAGAACTTTGATTATCAAATGACTGAGATAAAACAAGGAGGTGGCTCTCTTTATCATGCCCTACCTGGCATCTGAATGCCACTGCTAGAAATAGTGTTTGACTAGATGGACTTCTGACTTGACTGCATGAGACAATTCATATGCTCTTGCAACACAATGTATATTTTTAAAATGTAATAAAAAATTATGACTACTTTATGAAATGTTAAAAACTATTTTAGATAATTGCTTTCTATAGGATGCATACATTTCTGTGTAAGAGAACTGCAAATGTGAAAGCTTTTGTTTCTTATATTTAGTGACTCTGATCCAGGAACCAGACAGTGGGTAGAGTCAGAGACCCTCTCTGGTTCTCAGTCTCCACAATCAGTGGGAAGTGCTGCTGCGGACAGTGGTACTGAGTGTATGTCTGATTCTGCAATGGATTTGCCTGATGTCACATTATCTCTTTGTGGAGGTCTTAGTGAAAATGGAGAAATATCTAAAGGTATATAAGAATGTCTTATTTTTAATAAAATGTTGAGGCTTCTATTTATATAGCTCAAAAGAAGGAATTATTATGGCAGTTGAGTAGTATCAAACAATAACATAGGTGCTATCATCTGTCTTTCTAAAACTAGACAAGACATTTTCTTCTTGAAGGTAATTCTTGTTGAGATGCACCATACTTGAAATGCTGAGCTCTGCATGCGGAATGCAATTCTATGTACTGCTTGCTTTGTTGTGAGAGAGAACTTCAGAACTGTGTATAGATGAATTGCTTTAAGAATTTGCTTTCATCATTAATTTTACTCAGCTGAACTGACGGAGGATTTCATCTCAGGCTTTCTATGTGAGAACTCTGCTCTTCTGTGTTTACTTGGGTTCTCTGTCCTGAATTAAACAAGGTTTTGCTGTTCTGTAATCTACTCCAAGGGGATGCAGGTGGCGCAGTGGTTTAAACCGCTGTGCTGCTGGGCTGGTTGATCGAAAGGTCGCTGCTTCGAATTTGCACAATGGGGTGAGTTTCCGTTGCTCTGTCCCAGCTCCTGCCAACCTTGCAGTTCGAAAGCATGCAAATGCAAGTAGGTAAAAAGGTACCACTTCGGTGGGAAGGTAACAGCGTTCTGTGCACTTCGGTGTTTAGTCATGCCGGCCACATGACCACGGAGACTGTCTGTGGACAAACGCTGGCTCCCTCGGCTAGGAAACGGAGATGAGCACCGCCCCCTAGAATCAGGCATGACTGGACTTAACGTCAAGGGGAAGCCTTTAATCTACTCCAACTATTGCATTCCTCAAACCCCTGAAACCCTGTGGAACAGTATGGGCTGGTGCAGTGGGTCCCAAAACTGGGTACCCTGTCACACACAAGCAGCAGTATACTTTCCACGCTTGCATAAACTTCTGTGGATATAATGTGACCATGGACATTGGTTTGAAAACATTGCCAGAGGATACAGAATGTATCATTCTACCTCACATATCTGTCTCACAGGATTGCCTGAGTGGTGACAAGCAGGCTTCTTACTGGGAATTATTATATGTTTCAGAGTTAATGCAATGGAACCTTTAAAAAAGAAACCTGTAAATTACTATTTAAAAAACCCCTGCAAATTACAAGATGATTAGGGAATTGTTGCTAAGCAAATATATATGTAGAGCAATCAAGGAATTCAGAGGGAATTGGCTTTTAGAAGTGCCATTTTAAGCATCATTGCAATAGGAATGTATTATTGCTTTCTTTTGGAATCTCTCTGGTATCTGGTTTCTTACAACAGCACAGTGGGATATTATGTAATACAAAATCAAAATTCTTCCTGTTTGTGGACAGCAAGCCATCCTGCCAACCCATGGTTTGTTATGGAAGTTGTCGGACCATGATGCACTTTTATGTTATGTACCATTATAAATATTTTCTCAAGGAGATTGATAACACTTTAGAGAAAGCCACTCTGAATTTACTATTCCCAGCTTCATTCCAAGTAGCTGTTTTCTAGAACAACAATAACAACAGTAAAATAGTTTCAACTATTTTTAGCTGCTTTTCAGGAATTTGACCTCATATCCTTATTACTTCCTACAAGAGAATGTTAGGTTGCATTATTTTAGGTGGAAAGTACAGATTTCTCCCTCCTCCTAGAAAACATATTCAGCAGGTGATGGTACCCAAAGAGTGTTTTCTCTAGTTGGGGAATGAAAACATAACAGAACTTACATGCAGTTATTTCATCTATACAAACAGAACTAGATTTTGGAACTGGTTTTAAAGATTATCAATCATTTTTAATCAACTGATGTATTTTTATTGCAGAAAAATTTATGGAGCATATCATTACTTACCATGAATTTGCTGAAAACCCAGGACTGATAGATAATCCTAACCTGGTAATAAGGATATACAACAGGTGATATTCCTTAACTCTGTTTTGCTGCATTATTTTACAATATTTACATTCACTTGCTGATTTGTACTTTAGTAGCCATTCTGCTTCTTAAAATACTTCAAAATTTAAACCCAACTTTACTGTGTAATTGGTGCTTATGAGCTGCAGATACATGCAGTCCTACAAGCTTTATTGAAGCTGTGACTGAAGTAAGAAAAGACCACAACAAAAGATGCATTTTTCTGTTTGCAACAAATAGTGTGTAACATATTAATTGTACTTCCATTGTATTATATCAGTAATAAGAAACTGTCCTTTGTTTAACAGGTATTATAATTGGGCATTGGCTGCTCCCATGATCCTCAGCTTGCAGGTATTCCAGAAGAGCTTGCCGCAGGTAATATAATAACTGTGAATATTCCAAAACATATGAAACAGGCTGTCTATTTCAGACCAGAGAAGTGGAGCAGGGTGGAAGGAACCCTACTTGTACAAAGGTCCTCACAGCACAGTCATGGGAAAAACAAGAACTGACATAGTGAAGAGGCCAGGTGTGTGAAGTGGGATTAAGCCCTGATTGGTATTTGGAATACATTGTAACTTTGTGAGGCGAAAGGCACCAGCTTGTGCACAGGGAAGATATGACTCTTGAAGTAGGGCACAGCTCCCTGAAAATTATGCATCCTCTTCCCCACTGCAGCAATTAATCTTGGGGGGGAAATATTCCATTCATGCAAACAGGGCCTTTTTCTTTCTAACACTTAACTGCTGCATGGAAGTAAGCATGGCAAATAAGAAAGAGGAAACAGTGCTGCCACAGTGAATTGCTCTTGGGGTTTGCCTCTCCTTGCAGGGGAACCCACTCCATGGAGAGAGTGCAACTGTGCAATGAGTTAGTAGTGCTAAGTAAGATCCTGCATCTACTTGATGGGAGAGCATACACATATCAGAAGTTCAATATTGCAAAACAATGGAAGTGCAAAACTTGTATATAGCATTGCACTATATTATGCTGATTGCAGCTTTGTTTATGATACTGTATTTTAATGTGCTTAGGCTACAGTTGAATCCTGGATTAAAGACAAGATGCCAAAAAAGTCTGGAAGGTGGTGGTTCTGGCGTAAGAAGGACAGCATGATTAAGCAGGTAAAGTGGGCTCACTTTATTAGTCTGGTTCTGATATAACATCACAACATTATAAATGTTTATATAGATGGTCAAAATTTGTGTGGAAGGCTCATTGCATGCTGGTTGGCTTGTATAATTCTGTAGAACTCAGAGCTATACGTAAAAAATATCACAGGTTTTACCTTCTGTTGAGGCAGCAGTGTAAATGGATGCCCTGTGACAATGTGCTCTTAATCTGTTTTTCATGTACAAGCTTCCTGAAGCAAAGGAAGGGAAGTCAGAGGCTCCAAAACAGGTCCTGTCAACTTCTACAAAAAATCAAGCTGAAAGCCGGTATGTTTCTTTATGCTTTGAGTGATTAGCTGAGCTTGAGGAACAACATAGAAATCTGCTACTGCTATTGGGTGATTTGGTATTTGAAAGCGGGGCCACAAACCACAGGTAGAACACCTGCTTTGCATGCAGAACGGTCCCCTATTCAGTCTCTAACATCGCTGGTAGGACTAGGAAACCTCTTTCTGAAACCTGATTGAGCAGCTGTCAATTAAAGTTAGATAGACCAGTGGTCTGACATGATGTTTATTTATTTTGTTTACTCTCAGTGCTTTTTTTGTAAAAAAAAAAAAAAAAAAAAATGGTGCCGAACTCACAGCTTGGGGTCACACTTTTACACTAAAAAAGATTTTCAATTCACCAACTTTTTTTGAAATAAACATCTTATTTACCTTTTGCACGTAGCCAGTCACTCCACACACACATTAACATAATAGTCGCCGCCAGCAGTAAGCACTCAGCGTGTGACCACATGACCGATCCCAAGCCGAGCAATGCCCTCACAATCAGCGCTGACACACAAGTTAATGATTTTTGCCACCTACCTGCTATGCCCGACAGGGCGATTCACAATCACTTGGAAAAATCCATCAAAAAATGGTGCCGGAACGCTGTTCCGGTGCGTTCTATGACTAAAAAACCCGTTTATTCATATATTTATATGCCGCCTGTAACTGTCAGGATGGCCTCTCTAGGCAGTTCATACAATAAAAGGCAACTTCATATGATACATCATATAAATGAACAGAAGCATTTGACTAGAGGCCAGCACTGGAAAAGTAAATAGAACTTCCTCTAAAACTTAGGAGTGGAATCCTATGGCCTTCTAGTCAGTGACTGAGGGGGGGCGGGGGGAAGTAATGAGGATTTCCACTTCCAGAGCAGACAAAACTGTTCTCGGGGAGGTAAATCCGAGGCAAGGAGGAGAGAAGAAGCTTTGAATCTTGAATTTGCTGGCAAAATTTAGGATTGGTAGAGAAGGGTTCTGAGTTAAGAACCTATTGGTATCCATCTAATGCAAATCTACCATATAGGGTTTCAAACCCTATATTTTTTAAAAATGGTATAAGTAGTCAGCAATGAAATACCATGATTTTCCAGCAACACATTCTCAAGAATAAATTTCTGTATTCACTTGAAAGTTGACTCTTCCTTTGACATGACAGTGAAGAAAAACATCTATGCTTGAGAGGTAGCAGAAAATCTCTTTATATATTAGATTATCTCAGCAAGGGCAGTAAAATATGGCAGAATGCTTGTACTATATAAAGCATAGGAAAACTTGGCATATATGAAGAAGAAAACATAATACACAAATGACTTCAAAGCTAAGCTATTATTTTGAAGCTACACCGTGTAGAGATCTCTTCAGAGGGAATGGCCTCTTACTTGTGTAGCATAAATTTGCCTGTCCTCTCATGACCATCCCATACCTAATTTGGAAACAAAATTGGTAAATTAAAAAGAGTCTTTTGGGTTCCTTCTCAACCAGCCTGTAGAAAATATGTTGCCTTTTGAAATGTTTTATGAGGGTACTTGAGGATCTCTTTTAAAATATCTCTCAGGTGTCTGCTATCTAAATGTCTTACAATTACTTTTATGTCATATTAGGCCTACAGATGATGATTCTTCTAGTGATGAGGAAGGATCTCAGGAACTGAAAGAATCCTTAAAAATAGATTCTGCTTCTTTTGAACACCCAAGCCATGGTGCTACTTCATATAAAAAGTCACTTAGGTTGTCTTCAGATCAAATTGTAAGTGATTGGTCTTGTAAATAGCCTAATAATGTAAAGCAATTCTGCATCTAATTTTAAGAAGCCTTGCCAAAAGTGCATGAGAGATGGCTGTCTTTGAATATTACTAATTTAATTTGAAATCAGGATTTTTGTGCCTCTGGAAGGAATCCTTCTATGCTGGGATACTGCTTTATTTTCATAGTTTTGGCTTCAATTCATTAGATCTATGTACATTTGAGTTATGGGAAAGTTATGATATAGATTCATGTTCCTGATAAAATACACATTACAGCAAATACCATTTCATTCATGCCTGTCATTCATAGTTAAAGACAGTCATTTGTAGTACTACTACTAAGGTATTAACTAGTTTAATGTGTTAATGGTAGCATAAGAACAGGTAGCATGTAAGTTCCATTATGAATGTGTGTGTTTTTAATCAAGTTTGTAGCTTACTGGATTTCCATCTTGTGCTCAGGAAATGTATAACACATGTGCTAACTTTTATTTAGGACCCATACTTTCCCTAGCACAATGAGCTGCTCCGAGTGCACTTTTAGAGGGATTAAGGAAAGACTGCTGTGCATCTTAGCATTTTTCCACATTAAGTGTTTCATTGTCTGGGAAGGCTAATTTATATCTCCTTCATGAATCACTGCCTTGTCATGGCGAAGGGGCTTGCATAGCTCAATGAAGCTATGAGCTATGCCGTGCAGGGCCACCCAAGACGGACAGGTCAGAGCAGAGAGCTCTGACAAAACATGATCCACTGGAGAAGGAAATGGCAACCCACTCCAGTATCTTTGCCATGAAACCCCCATGGACAGTACCAAAAGGCAAAAAGATATGATGCCGGAAGATGAGCCCCTCAGGTTGGAAGGTGTCCAATATGCTACTGGGGAAGAGCGGAGGGCTTCTACTAGTAGCGCCAGAAAGAATGAAGCGACTGGGTCAAAGCCGAAAGGACACTCAGTTGCAGATGTATCTAGTGGTGAAAGGAGAGTCCGATGCTGCAAAGATCTATACTCCATAGGAACCTGGAATGTAAGATCCATGAATCAAGGCAAGCTGGATGTGGTCAAACAAGAGATGACAAGACTGAACATCGACATCTTAGGAATCAGTGAACTAATATGGACAGGAATGAGTGAATTTAATTCAGATGACCATCAGGTATACTACTGCGGGCAAGAATCCCTCAGAAGAAATGGAGTAGCCTTCATAGTCAATAAAAGAGTAGGAAAAGCAGTACTGGGATACAATCTCCAAAATGACAGAATGATCTCAGTTCGAATCCAAGGCAAGCCATTCAGTATCACAATAGTCCAAGTCTATGCCCCAACCACTGATGCTGAAGAGACTGAAGTTGACCGGTTCTATGAAGGCCTACAACACCTTCTAGAATTAACACCCAAAAATGATGTCCTTATCATCATGGAGGAATGGAATGCTAAAGTAGGAAGCCAAAAGATAACCGGAATAACAGGCAAGTTTGGCCTTGGAGTACAAAATGAAGCAGGGCACAGGCTGGTACAATTTTGTCAAGAGAATACGATGGTCATAGCAAACACTCTTTTCCAACAACCCAAGAGACGACTCTACACATGGACATCACCGGATGGTCAACACAGAAATCAGATTGACTATGTGCTCTGCAGCCAAAGATGGAGAAGCTCTATACAGTCAGTAAAAACTAGACCAGGAGCTGACTGTGGCTCAGATCATGAGCTCCTTGTTGCAAAATTTAGGCTTAAATTGAAGAAAGTAGGGAAAAGCACTAGGCCACCCAGTATGACCTAAATCATATTCCACATGAATATGCAGTGGATGCCTTCTTAAATGAACAGTGCAAAGAAATAGAAGAAAACAATAGAATAGGGAGGACCAGAGATCTCTTCAAGAAAATTGGAGCTATGAAGGGAACATTTCATGCAAAGTTGAGCATGATAAAGGACCAAAATGGCAGGGACCTAACAGAGGCAGAAGAGATTAAGAAGAGGTGGCAAGATTACACAGAAGAACTATACAGGAAAGAGCTTAACGTCCCTGATAACCACAGTGGAGTGGTCACTGACCTCGAGCCAAGTCAAATGGGCCTTAGGAAGTCTGAGCAACAACAAAGCTAGTGGAGGTGACAGTATTCCAGCTGAGCTATTCAAAATCTTACAAGACAATGCAATAAAAGTGCTACACTCACTATGCCAGCAAACATGGAAAACCCAACAGTGGCCACAGGATTGGAAAAGGTCAGTTTACATTGCCATCCCAAAGAAGGGCAATGCCAAAGACTGTTCAAACTACTGCACCATTGCACTCATTTCACATGCTAGCAAAGTGATGCTCAAAATCCTACAAGCTAGGCTCCAGCAGTATGTGGACCAAGAACTACCAGAGGTACAGGCAGGATTTCAAAGAGGGAGAAGAACTAGCAATCAAATTGCCAACATACGCTGGATCATGGAGAAAGCTAGGGAGTTCCAGAAAAACATTTACTTCTGCTCACTGACTATGCTAAAGCCTTTGAGTACGTGGATCACAACAAATTGTGCCAAGTTCTTAAAGAGATGGGAGTACCTGACCATCTTATTTGTCTCTTGAGAAACCTATATGCGGATCAAGAAGCAACAGTGAGAACTGGGCACGGAACCACTGATTGGTTCAAAATTGAGAAAGGAGTTCGGCAAGGCTGTATACTGTCTCCCTGTCTATTTAACTTATATGCAGAACACATCATGAGAAAGGCAGGACTAGATGAATCACCAGTTGGAATTAAGATTGCTGGGAGAGATAGCAACAGCCTCAGAAATGCAGATGATACCACTCTCATGGCAGAAAGTGAAGAGGAACTAAAGAGCCTCTTGATGCGGGTGAAGGAGGAGAGCACAAAAGTTGGCTTGAAACTCAATATTAAGAAAACTAAGATCATGGCATCCAGTCCTCTCACTTCCTGGCAAATAGATGGGGAAGAAATGGAGGTAGCGATAGATTTTATTTTGTTTATTTTATTTTGTTTTGCTCCAAGATCACCGCAGACGGGGACTGCAGCCAAGAAATTAGAAGACGCTTGCTCCTTGGGAGGAGAGCTATGGCAAATCTAGACAGCGTACTAAAAAGCAGAGACATCACCCTGCCAACAAAAGTGTGTATAGTCAATGCTATGGTTTTCCCAGTTGCAATGTATGGCTGTGAAAGTTGGACCATAAGGAAGGCTGAGCGCTGAAGAATTGAGGCCTTTGAATTGTGGTGCTGGTGGAGACTCCTGTGAGTCCCTTGGACTGTAGGGCGATCAAACTGGTCCGTCTTAGAGGAGATCAACCCTGACTGCTGTTTAGAAGGCCAGATACTGAAGATGAAACTCAAATACTTTGGCCACCTAATGAGAAGGAAGGACTCCATGGAGAAGAGCCTATTGCTGGGAACAAAAGATGGCAAAAGAAGTAGGGGACGGCAGAGGATGAGGTGGCTAGATGGAGTCACTGAAGCAGTTGGTGTGAGCTTGAGTGAACTCTGAGAGATGGTGAGAACAGGAAGGCCTGGAGGAATGTTGTCCATGTGGTTGCGATGGGTCGGACATGACTTTGCGACTAACAACAACAAATTTATATATCAACAGTAGAATAATGCTCACTTAGTTCCCAAAGTCCTTAAAAGTTTGAACCTTTGCTTGCATTGACTTTTGTGTTTTTAAACACTTTCTATTTGCTATAAATATCCTTCACCGAGAGGATAGTCCTGGTGTCTAGGTGGCCATAGGATAATTTAGATTCCCAGATTAGGAAAGGGAAGGCTGGAGACAGCCTTTGGAGCTGGGCATCTACACTGCAGTCCCCTTCCTGCCTTCACAGCAGACATGGAAAGTACTTCCTCTACTGCATCTCTGAGGTCAGGAAATGATGGGGGGAAGTAGCCTTCTACCCTCTCTCTGAACCACCTCAGCCAGCAGTCTAGTTGAAATGACAGGCAAATGTTGACTGCCCTGCTTGTCTAGTTCTGCAGTGGATGCTCAGAAGCCTCCAAGTTCAGATGCTTATGAGTGTCAAGGGTGCAATTGATGGGACTGTGCCCTAAATAACTTGAACTTACCAAGTTGTGGAGAAGAGGAAGTTTTCATTGCAGCAGAAGACCCTGATTTCAGTGAGACTTTTGTTCTAGGCACCCATATTTTTGCTTTAGTGTATGTCTTACTGACTTGCATTTAAGAGCCTGATACCCCAGTCTCATGAATGAATCTCAGTGGGATGGTAGTTGCTCTTTGTTCATCCTGGCATTGAAAAAAATAAGCATATTATTGAAAATTCATTCATGCTAGTATTAAAATATATAGCATTTTGGAAGTGAAAAATAACTTCAGTTTTGGTTAACAATATCATGTCTTTTGATTTTAAAGGAAAAGTTAAAGCTTAGAGATGGCCCAAATGATGTTATCTTCAGCATTACAACGCAGTATCAAGGAACTTGCCGTTGTGCAGGGACAATATATCTCTGGAACTGGTATAACAAAATAATAATTTCAGATATCGATGGGACAATAACCAAGTAAGCTGTAGTATATTTTACTGCTAATAAAAAGTATCATCATTGAACTGATGCATTAAAACCCATTTGTGTCCAAAAACTCTGCTGTTAGTATCTGGTACTGAAAAGAAATAATCTTACATGAATCCTTCAACCCCCACTTTTCCCCCACTTCTTCTTAAATCTCAGAGTTAAATCCAACTGAGCTGTCCCCTTTTTATTCAGTGAGGCTTCCCCACACAGTCTTTACTTTCATTCCCCTTTCAAACCTCCCAGCAGATCTGTGAGATATGCAGAGCTGTAAGGTGGGGTGGGGTGAGGAATTCATTCTTCTGGTGGGGTCCATGCCACTGATGGGTGGCCAGCATTGCACACAACCGTTAGTTACTTGATTCAGTGATGCAGGTTAGAGGATGTCAATGCTTTATTCCTAAAACAAATGTAGTGTGTAGGTTCTTGATTTGCCCGACATGATATAATCTGGTTTGGCTCTCCTAATATATGATTTTATGAAAATACTTATTCATGTGTTTGCTTCTACTTTTAATCTGTTCCTGGTTTAGATCTGATGCTTTAGGACAGATTTTACCACAGCTTGGCAAAGACTGGACACATCAGGGTATTGCAAAGCTCTACCATTCTATTAATGAGTGAGTATCTTGTCCACAAAAGAGTTGTGAAACATGAGAATAATTATTATGTGAAGTTGTCTAATAAGTATGAATTGAAGTGTGAATTTTGCATAACAGCTTTCTTGTTTTAACTGAAGAAAAATGAAATTGTCTTGCATTTCTGTTCTAATTTTACATTTCAAAGTAGAGTAAAACTGCAATTAAAGTATACATTATACATATGACATAAAGAAATGTAAGTCAGCTCTGCTATAGGTCCCACATAGTCTGATATGATAACAGTATGCTGTAAACCCTGGTATGCATGAGTATGGTTGCTAATGCACAGAGTCACATGACTGCATTCAGGTTCCTCTTTCCTCTTCTGTCAACAGATGAGGGAAATTATTTCTCTAGACAATTCAAAGATTCCTGTTTTTGGTGTGGATTGTTTTGGGTAGAGATTTAATTTTGGCCAGCAGTGTTTTGTGGCACAGATTGCTGACATTGTCTGGACATGTTCTTTAGTTTCCTTTCTTTCCTCAGCCTGCCTGTGGATTATCTCTTTGGTACATCCTTTTTCCACAGGGCCAAGGGAAGTTCCAGTGCTGACTAGTTAAATCAGTGATGGTGAATCTTTCAGAGACCGAATGCCCAAACTGCAACCCAAAACCCACTTATTTATTGCAAAGTGCCAACACTGCAATAAAACCTGAAAACTGAGGTTTTAATTTAGAAAAAACAACTCACAGCCAGTCCAAGCATATCCTTGGCAGCACACTGACTGGCCATGTGAAAGCTCGGATGAGTTGTGGCTAATGAGTTGTGGCTCATGACATCATCACCTGACGCTATGACTCCTTTCTGAGCATGCGCATGGCTCCTATGTGTGCTGTTATCTGATGCTCGGCTGCTGGGGCGACTTGGCTCGCATGCTGACCCAGGGGGCTCTGGGTACCTTCTGTGGCACATGTGCCATAGGGTCGCCACACTGGGTTAAATCAGTAGGTCTGCACTCCCCAAACCTTAATGGGGGGCCAAAGTTTATAGGGGTAAAATACCATTGAAAGAGACAATTTTGAAAAAGCCCTCATTGAGTAGCTTTATTTGCACAGCCCATCATTTCTGTCCATTCTAAACACATTCCAGCCATCAAAATCATGCCAGGACACCTTGTTTTCCAAACCCTAACCCTACCCTGGTGCACACCCCTAACCCTAATAGAGGGCCAAAGTTCAATTGAAAATAATGCGATTTTGAAAAAGCCATCCTTGAGTAGCTTTTTCAGCACTGCTCATCACTTCTGCCCATTCAAAACATTCCAACCATCAAAGTCTTGCCAGGACACCTCATTTTTCTAACCCTAACCCTACCCTGGGGTAAACACTCCTAACACTATTAGAGGGCCAAAGTTCCATTGAAAAGAGAGGGATTTTGAAAAACCCTTCCTCGAGTAGCTTTTTCTTCACAGCTTATCATTTCTGCCCATTCTAAACACAGTCTAACCATCAAAATCATGCCAGGACACCTTGTTTTTGTAACCCTAGCCCAGCAATGGTGAACCTTTTAGAGGCCAAGTGTCCAAACTGCAACCCAAAAGCCACTTATTTATTGCAAAGTGCCAACACTGCAATAAAACCTGAAAACTGAGGTTTTAGTTTAGAAAAAACAACTCACAGCCAGTCCAAGAAAAACATATATATCCTTGACAGCACACTGACTGGCATGCAAAAGCTTGGACGAGTCACTGCTAATGAGTGGCGGTTGTGACATCATCGCCTGGTACCGCTACTCCTTTCCGAGCATGCGCATGGCCCCTATGTGCACTGTTATCTGATGCTCAGCTGCTGGGGCGATGCTGGGGCGAGTTTGCTCGTGTGCCAACAGAGAGGGCTCTGTACCTGCTATGGCACGTGTGCCATAGGTTCACCACACTCGGTTAAATCAATAGTATGTAACAAGGGACTCACCACTGGTAGATAGTGGTTCTGCCTGGAAGACAGACTCAGGTCCAGGCACCAGGTCAAGATTAGGAGCAGCAAGAAATGGGGGTAGTGTGGAAGGAAATGCCACAGAGGAGGAATAGAAGTTGCAGCGTGATAAACTGGACCCTGCTTCAAACTGCTACCTAGAAGATGTGGAGGCAGAGAGCGCAGACAAAGATACTAAAAGAGCAGGATACAAAGAAATAAAACCTTGGTTTGCTTAAGAAAAGCAAACTGTTGTGTTTAAATATGCAAACCATCATGGATAGTAACAACACTGAAAATCTCTTTTTCTGAAGTAGATTATAAAGTGTAACAGGCCAGCCCTTTGCATGTTTACTCAAATGAGGTTCAGTGGATTTAACTTCCAAGCAGAGGTTCAGGTTGAATGTTGTGTGGGAAGAGAAATAATGGTTAAATCAACTTTCCATCTTTTGAGAAGTCAGAATCTTCTGGTTTCAAAAGTAGCATATTGCATTACAAAACACTTTTAATAGGAGATTGATATTTTGGGAATGTTCCAAGAGTATGGAACTTGAGAGCTGTAGTTTTACAATGATTTTTGTGCTTTACAATGATTTGTGCTTTATGATTTTTAAAAATTGCTGTTTGAATTTAAAGCCATTTCAACTATCACAAATTTCCAACAAGAATAGTACATCCATATCAAAGGGGAAAAGATGGCACATATATATTAGATCATTGCACATGGCCCTTAAAGTACAAACTTTAAAATGGCTGCTTAGGCACACCATTGTATGCTAGTTTAAAACAAATTTTAAAAATAACAACCCAACCAAGTGTTCAGGTTTCTTACAATATATGTAAGTAAATACAGGTATTCTAAGGTGAGGTGATGCTTGCAAATATTTTATGGAAGGAACTTTCCAATTAATATCCAGCCTTAAAGTAGTTTCTGTCACCTTTATCAATATTCCCTGCTCTCTCAAGCTTTTGGGATGGTAAATGCTTTATAAGAAAAGAACAGTTGTGTTGGCTTTGGAAGTTATACAACCACTATCTTGAGTGGGACTTAGGTATGGGGAACAAATGGCTCTCCAGATAGTTTTAGACTGCAGCTCCCATGATTTCTGTTAGCTATTCTGACTAGGGCTAATGGGACTTGCAGTCAAACATAATTTGGAATGCTATGTTTCCCACTCCTGGTGTTCCTCATCAAGAGAAATCTAGAATATGAGCTAAGCACATTATTCTTCCCTAGGAATGGCTACAAGTTTCTTTATTGTTCTGCTCGTGCCATTGGAATGGCAGATATGACAAGAGGGTACTTACACTGGGTCAATGACAAGGGAACGATCCTGCCCAGGGGTCCACTGATGTTGTCTCCCAGCAGTTTGTTCTCTGCTTTCCATAGGTAAGTGATCAAAGTATATCTTAATATTTGCGTATTACTGTTGTGGATATTAATACATTGCATTTATATCCAGGACACATTTCTAGCTGCTCAGTCCCCTTCGGAAGCTTAAGTGATGCACTGGCCAGGCAACCCTTCTGCAAGCTGCCAGGAACCATCTCATATTGGATCCGACTGCTACAGAGACCACCTCTGCACTTCCCTCTTAGACTGGGACAGGCACTCAGGACCAAAGCAGGGTGGGGGTTGCAACTGATTCTGGGCCTCAGTGACCTCTACTGCTTAATTAGGCAAGGGAAATTTCAAATGGTCAATCTTCTGTTGTCACTACAAGAAGGAGATTGGCTTGATCTGAACTACATTCATTTCCTCATCTTCACAGAGGACTCTTACAGCCATTTTCCTGTGTTTCCAAGTTGGTAGGAAGACCTGAGTTTTCTTATTTACCTTAAAGATTGCCCACAGTCCCAAGAATCTTCACAGATTCAGTCTTCAGTGCCCACTTATACTTACAAGGAATCCAGGTCTACCCATACTTGGATGACTGGCTAATTGTGGCACTACCCAAAAGAGACTTGCTTTGCTCAGTTAACACTACCTACACTTCATTAGATGAATTAGGGCTTTGTATAAACTTAGATTTTTCTAAATCATTTCCCCTCTCAGTCAATCCTCCTCATTGGGCCCACCTTGACTCAAATTCAGCAAGCACTTTTCTCCCAGAAAACAGAATTTTGGCACTGATCAAGATGGCCAATGGACTGCACAGGTACTCTGCAAACACTGCCTTCCAGATCCAGTGGCTCCTCAGTCTCATGGTGGCAATGGTCATGGTAGTGCTACTGGCCAGGCTCTGAATGCATCCTGTCCAGTTATGGTCCATACACACCACACAACCCTCAATGAACCCACCTCTACATACTGGGAATGGTTCAGAAAAGTCTAGACTGGTGGATGTATCACTGTAATGTTGCCAGGGGAACCTCATCCATACCCCTCAAGCCAGTATTTAGGCATTGCAGATGCTTCCCTGTCTGGATGGGAAGCGAACTGTGGTTCTCTGATGATTCAAGGGATGTGGAACAAGTTCAAAGACTGTAAGCATATCAGTCATCTGGAAGTGCTTTCGGTAATGAAAGCTGTCACAGCCTCCTAGTTCTTCCTTTCCTATCACCATGCCCGGATCTCTATAGACAATAGCACAGTGGTCTTCTGTCTCAGCAAACAGGGAGACATCCTTGACTTGTCCAGCCATTTAGTGCTTTTTGAACCCAATTTGATCATGTAGGGTATATTCTTAAACAAGAGATAGGATAGGTTCATAAAGCACAACATCCCACCATGGTTGTTGACCTATGGTGGATTGTTGTGATGTCTGAACCTAGGGTGGCTTCTGTGGGTTGCTTTATTTTTCCTATGGAAGTCACCATAAGAACTCATGGGTTGTTTGGGGTGTTATGACAGATAATCTTGGGGAGTAGTACCCATCAAAAGGAGGCACTTGCTCACCAGATTGCCTCAAAAGGTTTGGCATCATTTTCTGGGGTTTAACGTACCCTTCCATAGAGAGAAAACAGACACAATACTTAGGGAAGTTTATTCAACAGAAAATAGGAGGCACAAACTTTTAGTCCTATGGTGCCTAATCTACCTGCCTAATGGAGAGGGAGGCTAACAGAAGGAGGGCAGGTGAGTCCATTACCTATCCTGCAGGTATAGTTTTGATAGCAGTCCCTTGTGTGGGCAGGAAGGATGCAAGATGTCCACAAGCTGGGATGCCTGCCAGACCTGTGTTCAGAGCTGGCCTCTCCCCTTCCACTTTCCAAGTCCTGATCTTTTATACTGTTTCCCTCTGTACTGGTCACTATGGGGAGAATTAATTTCCCAGACTTACGGGTGCTTGATTGCTCAGTAGACTTTTTCTACTACTCTCTGCTATGGGAACATGTCTATTTTCTATGGGTAAAAAATGAGTTCTTTGTGTTTGCTGCTATTGATGGCATAATTTCCAGGTGTCCCAACACAGAGGGTAATCCTCTTTGCAGGGTTGTTTTGCTATGGACCATTCTTTCTTATCTCACACTGGTAGCCCAGGGTAATTATGTCCTTTTTCCTGAATGCAAGGTTACCCCAATGTGGCCTATGATGTGAAAGCCCATCCTGGCCTGGGAGCTTATTGTTACAGTGCTAATACTGTATACTATGTGCTAATATACATGCACTATGACTTCTTTAGGTTAGCTTGTTTCCATGTTGTAATGTTTGAATCCAGGACAGTGGCTTCACTGTGGTCTGTTGGGAAGGGCTACTGAGACACTAGAAGTGATTTAAAAAAATCTGACTGTGTCTTGCAGTCTCATTACTGCTACTACCATCCTTCACATCATGATCCTCTACATCAGGGGTCTCAAACTCAACTTACCTGGGGGCAGTCTGGGTGAGGCTGGGCCGCATCAAGTATTCCACCACCGTGGTGGTGGTGGGCCGCTCATCCTGCGTCGCTCCCAGAGGCCGGCCCGGGCGCCGCTGGCGCTTTGAAGGCCGCAGGGCCCCTCCCCCATGCCCTGCCCGTCCCATCCCAGCAATTGGCCCACGGGCCACGAGTTTGAGACCCCTGCTCTACATCAACAAGAAATGACATTAGAAAGGACATTAGCCATCCTGCCATTTTTATTTTAAAAAATTGGGCTTGTGCTTGCTTATAGAAGAAAAACTGCTATGAAAATTGTTTTTCATGGAATTTGTATCATTTTAAAAGTTTGCCTCACTGCTATATATCTGTTAGCTAACAATGGAGTCCTGTGGAAAGAAGCAACAAGCATAGGGTAGGTAGAATGGAAAATGGCCAGCAAGATACCTGCACTACAGCTAAGAGGAAAATCTGCTGGTGGGAAGGGTTTGCTCTTATATAACTTTTTCCCCAGGTCTCCCAGCTGGTGCTCATCTGGAGCCTGAAAGCATTAGCACAGGGCCTGGATCCAATCCTGCAATTACTATGGTGGTCATTGCATTGCTGGCCACCAGATGGAGCCATGGAGCCTGCCAGATCCTGATGCCTCTTTACTCATCATTGGTTGTACTGCCTTTGGCTGATGGGAGTTGCAGCCCACCAGTTTCTGGTGGGCTACACATTCCTCAGTCTTGCCCTGCCTAGAGGGACAAAATAAGTCACTGCTATAAATGTATGGCATTGCCTTTGTGTCTAACTGTTGATTAGTCTAATTCCATATTGTCTGAGTAGGAGCTTTTCAGGGACTTGGGCAGAGATTCTGTCATCACCAGCTTCCTGATCTCTGGAAATCTCAGGGATTGAGCCAGGGGTTCTTTGGTGTGCAATGAATGTGCTCTTTTGGTGAGCTGTGGCCTGCCCTTCCAAGCTGCCTTCCATTACTGAAACAGCACTGAGAATCAGAAGCAAGCAGCTGGCAGCAGCTTTCCAAGGATAAGCAAATGGCTAAGTTTTGAAAGGCATGCAAGAAACTAATTGAATAGCCATGCTTTCCCTGATTTATTCTGAGCAACCTTAGTGCTTGGCTGCTTTCATGTATCATTTGCTTCATCTGCTAAAACGACCCTTCTAGAAAGGCCAAAGCTAAGGTTGTATAAATCCACACACCCACATCCCCACAAAGAAAAATACAACAATGACTGATCAGAGACCTTTATTAATACTTCTAGCTTTTCTGCTTTTTGTTTCCTTGAGTACATGCTTAGGCCATGAATAGCCTTTAGTTTATTGAAAATGGAACTGATGATATTTTATTTCCTTCCCTCAGGGAAGTAATAGAAAAAAAACCAGAGAAATTCAAAATTGAGTGTTTAAATGATATCAAGAACTTATTCGCACCATGTGAACAGCCTTTCTATGCTGCTTTTGGGAACAGACCTAATGTAAGTCTGCAACATTCTACAATTAATTGAATATTTGTTTTCTATTTTCCAGAAAAAATAGGCATATTTCTTAACACACAAGTTGGGATTAATGTGAATATTCCTCCTAAGGAACCTTATGCCTATGTGGCAAGCAAAACCCCATCTTTGTTTCATTTGATATCATAATAGCAATATTTTCCTCAATATTCTAATTGACCTATATATGCCAATGGGGAATTTATTCTTGTTGAAATGGGGAGATATGAAGTAAATACATAAGTTCAAGAAAGAAAGCTTTCAAAGAACCATAGAACTGGAAGGAACCTATAAGGTCATCTGTTCCAACCACCTGCTCAATGCAGGAATCTAATTAAGGAATCCCTAACGGAAGGCAGTCTTGCAGCATCTTGAATGCCTCCAGTGTGGGAGAGCCCAGAATTTCTCTAGGTAATTGATTCCATTGTCACATTGCTCTAATAGGAATTTTTTTCCAGATATTCAGCCACAATCTAGCTTCCTGTAACTTGAATGTATTTTTCCATGTTCTGTACTCTGCAGTCATCAAGAAGAGGGCTTGGCCTTCCTCTGTGTGACAACCTTTCAAGCACTTGAAGTGTGCTATCATACCTTCCCTCAGTCTTCTCTTCTCAAGGCTAACCACACCCAGTTCTTTCATCTTCTCCTTCTAGAGCTTTGTTTCCAACCCCCTGATCATCTTTCTTGCCTTCCTCTTAACATTCTACAGTTTGTCTTTGTCTTTTTTAAACTGTGGTGCCCAGAACTGGAGGCATTGCTCAAGATGAGGCTCAACAAATGCTGAGCAGAAGGAAACTAATATATCAAATGATTTTTAATGCAGTCCAAAATAGAATTTGCCTTAGCAGCAGCCATATCACACTCTTGATTCTATTCAGTTTGTAATCTAACTAAAGATCCTTCTCATGTGCAGTGTTGTTGAACCAAGTATCCCCCATCTTGTAATTATCCATTTGTTTCTTTTTTCCTAAGTGTAGAACTTAGCATCTGTCCCAATCAAATTTAATCTGTTTTCAGCCCAGTGCTCCAACCTGTCAAGATCACATTGAATTCCCCCCTCACCTCTTCCAGGTTATTAGCTATCCGATCCAATTTTGTATTACCTGCAGCGATCAGCATTCCCTGTACCTCCTCATCCAAATGATTATTAAAATGTTGAAGAGCACTGGACCTAGAACTAAACCCTTTTCCTTGTTGTTTGTTATCAGTTGGCCTTCTTCATTATGTAATTAAACTGCTATATCTTTCTTCATCTACAAAAGCTCAGTAGGACTGGCAAGTACAGGAGATTTTGGAGGGCATTCATTCCTAGAGTTGCCATAAGTTGAAGATGACTTGATGGCACATCACCACCACCACCACTCCTCTGTCTTTTTAATATGCATGCACCTAAAGGTGATTTTGTTGCTTTCATTATCCCTTGCTAGCAGCTCATTCTCAGCTTTAGCCTTCCTTTCCAACACCCTTGCAATTCCGTGCTACTTGCCTATACCCTTCCTTTGTAGCCTGGCTTTCCTTCCACTTCCTATAGCTTTCCTTTTTTGTTCCAGATCATCTCTAAGCCTTTTAATGGAGCCATCTTGTTTTTTTCTGTTGTCTTCTAGCCTTGTTGTTAGTGAAATTGTTTGTAATTGTGCTTTCAGAATTTCCCTTTTTCTGAATTTCCCACCTTTTCTCATTAGAGTTGTTTGGCATGGGACCTTACTTATTATTGTTTTGAGTTTGTAAAAATTGACCTTAGCAAAATCCCAATCATTTATTTGGCTACCCTTAGCTTTTGCTTCCTTTAGAATCGAAAACTAAGTATGACATAATCAATCTCACAAAGAATTATTGTAACTGTTACTAGGTTATTCCTGTTGGTTGGAATCGAGTCCAAGACAATTGTTCCTGTAGTTCCTTTCCTTCCTTCACTGTCTGTACAAAGAAGTTATCAGTAATACAAATTAGAAATGTCTTGGAAGGGCTGTGTTTGACAGAATTTGTCTCCCAACCGTAGTGCATAAGCCATTGTCCATGGTTACCACCAAGTACTTTTTCCCTTGCAAGATTCAGTTTAAAGCCCTCCTGATGAATTTCCTCATGCTGTGGTCACATTTTTCCTAATCTTTCTGAGATGCAACTCATCCCTTGAGAGCAGTCCATCTCTCAAGAAGTATAGCCTGTGGTCCCAGAACCCAAATCTCTCGCATCAGCCCCACCTTTGTAGCCCCCTGCTTTTTTGTCCCTTTTCCATAACCACTTCTACCACCATAACCACTTCTGCCCCAAAATATTTTTCTAGAGGTTTCAGATTCCTTATTGGATGAAGTGGGATAAGCCCAAGGTAATTTCCCTCTCTTCCCCAACGGTTTCCCATGCCACATTGTTCAGCAGATTGCCTGCAGCCCCCTGAAAGACTTCTTTGTAGGCACAGGTGACTGCAGCAAAGAGAATGGGAAGAGAAGTCCTTCTTCCATGAGTTTACCTTAGGATTCAAGTCACAATATTTTTTTACATGCTTACTCACTGTAGGTGCACCTGTATACTTTTCTCAGAATGCATACTATTACCTGTGGGTATGTACACATGAGCATTGTTAAATGCAGTTCAATTATAAAATTGGCAACATGGCCTCTAGACTAAAATGCAGCGGTCTTTGTTGTTTGCAGGATGTATATGCATACATGCAAGTTGGAGTTCCTGATTGTAGAATATTCACAGTCAACCCAAAGGGTGAACTAATTCAAGAACAGACAAAAGGAAACAAATCTTCGTAAGTATAAGGAAAACTGCTTGAATCAGTTGGGCAGGAATACTACCTAACAGATACAATTTTAGCAAATTGTGTACAGTTCTGGTTCTCTGCGAGCATTTTTTTAAAGAGTAACTAGTAACTGCATTCTAAGATGATGACTCAATGTGCTTTTGAGTAATGATTCTGTGGCATATGTTCAAGCAAGGATCAGACTTTACCATTTGTCTTTAATACTATGGCTTGGGTTAAGTCTGCAATCCTGTAGACCCTACCCAAGAGCAAGTCTTATTAAATTCAGTAGACGTGTGTAGTATTTCACTCTTAAACAAAGATAATGAATAACCATTCCTCTCATTTATTTTTGAATACAGATATTACAGACTGAGTGAACTTGTGGAACATGTGTTTCCACTTCTTAATAAAGAACAGAGCTCTGCTTTTGCATGCCCAGAATTCAGCTCCTTCTGCTATTGGAGAGAACCGCTTCCTGATGTGAACATAGAAGACTTAGCTTGAGGTTGAACAGCATTGTTCATGCAGAACCTCTTTCCAGCCTATCTTATCTTTTGGTACCATGTGTCTTATTAAATAGAAGAATCGCCATGGGTTTGGCACAAGCCAATAAAATACAAGGCTGATCTGCATTTCTTTAGACATCCTTACTTTTATTTAAGTGATTTGAAAGATAACTATCATTTGAAATAGCAGACAATCAAGAGGATAGAGGACAAAAAGGATAGAAATATAGCCAAAGTGTTGCATCTTTTTATATACCACAGTGGGTACTTGTGACATTTTGTATAGTAACCTTATCTTAAAGGAAGCTGAAAAAGTATGTGGAACTGATAGTAGAGACTATATTAGGGCCATTAGAGGAACTATATCTAGTACTCAAATCAGAAGTTAGGCTGTTTCAGGTACAACAGCTAAGATGACTATAATTCAGGTTTATTTAATATGACTTAGCAGGTTGCTAGAGTGTAGTGGGGACTTTCAGCTTTTTGGTGGCTAGAAGTGGTACAGTATTTTAATTAGCACCAGCTCATGGTTCCTTTGAATCTTGCAATTTTTAAAAAACTCTTGGGCTGTTTGAGTGCATCTGATCAGTTTCAGCATTTTTAACTTCTTAAGCTGTGAGACTGGAAATCTGTACAATATTTAGAACATTGTTGCCCCAACAGTTGCACAGAATACACTGTGTAGATCAGTAGAAAATACAGAAAACATTCAGGGATAATTTTGTTTTATAACTAAAAGATAATTTATATAATCAGGCTTCAAAAATGGAATAACTTTGATGCCTTTCCAGAACTCTGTATCAGGGTTTTCAGTTTGACAAAAGTGGCACAGGAAAGTAGGATCCAGTGAGAAGTACTGTGTGTCATCTATAAATATCAGTTTTGATAGTCTGATCAGACATTTTATATGTTAGCTACACAATGGATCCAAAAGCAACTGACATCCAGATTTAAGCAGCTCATTGACTTACTGCTGTTTTCCTTCTACACCAAGTTGAAATAATGTATGTAAACAAAACAGCAGATTTGTTTAAGTGTTAACCCTAACTCCATTCCAGCTGCTGTGGCATGCCACAAACCGCCTCTGTCTGGAAGAGTTAATATTGGTCAATCCTCATGGAACTTGGAAGTTTCTCCATTGTTGAGAGCTGAGTCAGAGACAGAATGATGGCTAGTATTTTTCCTGGTCATAAGAATTTATCAAAATAGTATATGGCTACCAGGTGTAAACTACCAAGCTGTATCTTCAGGTTGACTACTGGTTTTGGTTTTATGTTGAGTCAGTTATAGTAGTGTCTAAGGACTAGAAGTAGCTTTCTCAGTGAAAGGGTCACTTGGGTAATTCACATCTATTGCAGGGTCAGAACTAGGGGCTTGGCTTGATCATTAGTGAATTGTACCTGAGATTAATTAGAAATATCAAGGGCCCAAGTAGTAGGTATATTCTGAGAATATACTTACTATAATGATCGGTATATTTGATCCAACTAAACAGTGATAGGCCAGTACTGTTAGAGATGTTTGAAACTACTTTCCAGTTAAACATTAAAAATGCCATCCTGTGCATGTTTGGACAGAAAAAAAAACTGCCAAGAACTCCCAGGGTACCACAGCCTGTCGGGGAAATGTTAGGTGTTCTAGGAGTTTTATCTTTTAAAACATGCATTGGTTTCCACCTTAGTTTAATGATGTAATGGTGTACTTATATTTCCTAGCACAAGGAAATAGAAATTCTATAGCTCTGGTAAATAAAGCCTGCTGTACAGATGAAACTCACTTCAGGATATGAAAACTGTTCATTTCCTTTTTACTGTACATTCCGTAATGCATTCCAAAAACTTCACAATTTTCAAACTTCAAAGATCTTATATATTTTTGTTTGAATAAAATACTGTGGATTCTCTTCCTCTACATTCTGAGGTACAATAAAAAATTCAATCTTATGCATGTTCAGAAATTTCCATGATTTCCAGAATGTCTGACTGGGAATTCTGGTTTCTGTTGAGCTTTTTTTGGTCTAAACATGTAGAGGATTGTTTCCTACATTGTTTATTCCACACTTGTGTTAAAGGTTACATTTATGGAGATAGGTCATTTTGCTTACAAAAACTAAAACACAGTAATGTGAACTGAAATGAATATTCTGTGACAATGCAGTTAGAGCAAACATTAAGAGTTGGCAAAAAGCTTCTGGAAGATTCTGTTTTATAAGTACAGGCAGGCAAAATTCTTCTGTTGTACTTTTGATATTGAAGACTGCTTTTGGGTCATCTTGACCCAAACATTTCTTTCATCTGGAATACACAATGCACTTTTTAAAAATGGTATGCTGTTAAGTACGTTAGTCTTACTTTGATAGCACTGTGCAGACCATTGCATTCTCAGTCTGGATTTTACCTCATTGACTTCAGGCAGGCCAGTGGCAGACAACACCCCAATCTCTAATAGGCAAGATGCCTGCTAGAGCTTGTGTTTGTTTTGTTTCCTTGTTGTAGTAGAAATGGGTGGTTTGGAACTGGTTTTAAGAAACAGATCTTGTTCTACATCTATTTCAGATTAGCACAAGCTAACCAATTCTTTCCATGAAAGAGATGGACATTTGTGTTTATGAACAAGCAATCTTTTAAAGGCTGTTTTTGAAAATGCACTTCCATTTACTTTGGAACTGAACAGCTTCTGCTGCACCATTTATTTACTTAGAATTTGTCAAATAAAGTTAACATGATTAAGAGGCTGGGAAATCATAGCTTATATAAAAAAATGGGTGGCAAACTCTGTTAAGCAAGAAAACAATAGTTTCATATTGCAGTATTAGTTTTGGGATCGTTCTTGATGTTCAGACTAGTATTTTAAGGAGAGGACCTGTGTTCATGTGTGTGCACATGCGTGCATGCACACATATTTGTAATGTGAAAGTATTAACAATACAGAAAATGTTATTCTGTTGCTAGTTCAGTACTGGAAAATTTTAACACTTCACCAAATAACATGACTAAGAATTGGAAAAAATCTACATGGTTTCATTTTGTGCTAGTACGACTATGTGATATAAGTTGATGATTGGAGTGCATAACATAACTAATAACATCCTTAAAGCAACTAATATATCAAGTAAGATATATACATATTAGAACAGATGCCACTGAAGCTAGTCTGTCACCTAAAAAGTTGCTTCTTCTGATCCGCAAAACTTTGAATGCGTTTTTAGAGAAAGAAATCTGCATTGTGGTTAGGTTAGAACTCTTCAGTACATTCTATTTAATTGTGTTACGAACAATTTTTGCTTTGATACAGCGTTGCTCACTTATTAATCAGTGAAAATTCCAATACATTGTTTTTGGTAAAGATTGACTGTTAGAAAAATAAGTCACTTTGTTGTGCTTAATAAAATTGACAATAAAAACTTACCTCAAGGCATAATCTCTCTCTATTTAAAATTACTTACTATAGAACTCAAAATGAACTGTGGTCTGATAATCACAGAAATGCTTATACTACAATAAAAGCAAATAAATTAGTGTTGGATGTGGGAAGATGAACTTGGTTGATACTGAACAAACTGAAAGTGTCTGTAGCAAAGATGAACATTAGGTGGCCATTACTGTATTAAAACAGGAAATATGGACAATATGTGGCTATTACTGTATGAAATAGCTCATCCATTAGTAGCTGTACTGTCTACATAGCTTATCAAGCATATACTGTATAAACAATAAATATATGTTTCTAGTACTAAGGAAAAATGAACATTTTGGTTTTGAATGGTTTGTTGATATATGTTTATCCTTGTGCAATGGAATAAAAACAAATCCAGGAGAAACTGATGTTCTGTAAGGATGTACTACTAAAGCAAGTTTGAGTGCATATCTTAAACATTATTAAAAACTTGTATACTAATACCAAGCTCCTTTGCCATACAAGGGGGTGTTATCAACATGCATTGAAGAAACTTAAAACTTAGATGAATGATTCCTAAAAATTCTTATGGAGAGGTGGAACTTGTATTAGCAAGGTAGACTAAGCATGCTCAGAGAGCACAGAATACTAGCTGACTGTTGGAAAGCAGGAGCAGAAAACAGGATAGGCAATGTTTTGTTGTAGATTCCTGTGTAACATTTATTGCCAAGTGGCTTTTTCTGACCGCTCAGAATACTTTTGGCTATCCCAGGAAAGGCTCTCACAAGCATCCAAAAGAACTCAGCCAAACAATACTTAGTGCAAGCTTTTTGACAACTCATATCTTGTAAAAACAGTATAATGTATGTATGGAAGGATCTATAAAATGATGTACTTTTGGCAGCTTCTTTATAGGAATATATAGCGTTCATTCCTATTAGCTTGTGGACTGTGGGGTAGTGGAAGGGACGTGAAATGTAAAGGAGGAATGAATGAGAGAGATTGGGTGAGTTCGCACATAACCACCCACAGTGAAAATGATGTAGGCATGGCTTGTCATGTACAAACCCAGCAACTGTGGTGAAGAGTAGGTTATTTGGTCTTAGTGGAACCATACCTCTTACCCATGCCTCTCCTGTCCCTGAGAGTCCTTGGAACAATCAGTGGCCCCACTGCCCCCTGTGCACCCACTGCAGCTGTGCAACAAGCACCTTTCATGCAGCCACCCTGAAAACTCCTAGGCAGATCCCAACATGTACTCCCACAGGAAAGTCTGCCTGGCAGGATGGACTCCCTCTATCCCTAGCATGGGTACCCATGCTGAGAAAAACAGGCTGAATATAAATACAGTGGAATAATACATAGCACTAAAGATGGCATTTAATTTCTTTTTCCTGTGCCCATGAGGGGAGCTGCAAATGCTTACTATATTTGATTACACTTAAATAACTTCTGTTTTACCGAAAACCAGTGCTGAGAGTCTGAAACTATTGTGGAAAAATGGTACAGCATTATCGGTGTTAAGCAGCTGATCTCATAAGTTAAGGAAGGGCAAGTTGCTCTACCATGAGTTCTGTCCACAAGTTCATAATATGTTAACTGAACTGAAGAATGACTATTTTAACAGTGTATCTTATGTGCGTGGTGATGGTTTTTCATAATGTGAGTCAAAACGCTATGAAGTAACTAAGAATTCATGTGTGCAGAAAGCATTTTTCTACAGTTGATCTATCAACTTAAGCATATGACCTCAGCTTTAAGAAGGAAGTTTGCTTTGTGTTGCTTAGAAACAATTCTTAAGGGGATCGCATAAGGCTATGAAATAAAGACATAACTATTTCTGAGACCTCTGGGAAGAAGACTAACAAAAGAGATATTTCACAAGCCTAGTTCATGAAGGGAGGTCTTAGCTGCAGGGAGGAACTTTGCCTTACACCATTAGCAGATAACTAAGGGGAAAAACATGGCCTGTTTGATAGGGTGACTTTTTTAGCACAGCATGTTACAAAAAAGCCAAAATCCCATGAAGTGATACAGGTTGGACCATGTTGTGAGAACGTTTCCTTCCACTTCCTGTTTTATGAAAACTTGGAAGTGTGCCTCAGCACTTAATACCCTGAAGCATAACCTGTATCATAGACAAGAGGCTACAGTTAGGGCAGAATATGGGCAAAAATATGGGTTTTTTATAGGCAAAAGCATCAGGCAGGATGTATTTTATCTAATCTATGTGCATAAGGAAAACTGGATTAGAAACAGGGGAACTGAAAATTGGCAGAAAAAAAACCACTAATTCAAGCTATTGCTGCTTTTTGTCATACTACTGACAATAATAAAAGTGAAAAAAGTACAAAAACAGGACTGCCACTTGAACATCAGGAAAACAAAAATCACGTCCACAGAAGAATTACAAAACTTCACTGCTAATAATGAAGAAATTGTGAAAGGGTTTGCATATGTTGGCTCAGTCATCAATTCAAAGGGACACTGAAAGACGCTTCAAGAAATTTCAGCCAAGAAATTTGAAGATTTACACTTGGAAGGACAGTCATGAAGGAACTAGAAAAGATCATCAATGCCGTGCAAGACCAAGGTCAAGATCATCCAAACTATTATATCCCCACTAACAATATAAGGGTGTGAAAGCTGAACAGTAAAGAAAGCTGACAGGAAGAAGATTGATGTACATTTGAAACATGATTCTGGAAGAAACACAAAGAAGTGGGTCTTAGATCAAATCAAGCCAGAGCTTTCCCTAGAAGCAAAAATGACAAAACTGCGGCCATAATCCTTCAGACATGAGAAGGCAACACTCGCTGGAGAAGACAATCATGCTAGGCGATGAAGGCAGAAGACAAAAGGGAAGATGAAAGGGAAGACCAAATATGAGACCGACCGAAGCCACAGCCTTGAACTTGGAAGAGCTCAATGGAGGTGTCATGGACAGGACATCAGAAGTTGAAGATGACTTGATGGCACATAACAACATTACTATTCCTGGAAGAATGTGCAATGGCAAGTTGAAGCTTAAGGGGACAATTTTTAGTGCTTTGTTTACTGCTCCTTTCAATATTTTAGATAGAATTAAGGGTAATATTGATGCATTTCAAAAAGTGACTACTTTGGATGTCTTAGGATTGCTATTATATCTCTCTTCTAGAAGTTAATAAATATCACATAAATTATATTTTAATCATCTTATAGTTATGTACCACAGCAACTACTTTTTTCCTTTAGTATGTTTACATATCCATAACCTTTACTAAAAGAAAGACAAACAAGGAAAAAAAATGTGTACAATGCAATCCTGTATATGTCTCCTTAGAAGTAAGCACCATTGAATTCAATGGGACTTCCTCCCAGATCTATTACAGGATTTCATCCATAAATCATGTAAGAAATGCACCTAAACAGAAGTGGGAAAGGGGTGGGGGGAAAGGACAAAAAAAATTAAAACTTCACCATTTATTACTGTTAATTTTGTTGGGATTAGTTTATCTTAAGTAGACATATCCTACTTATGAGAAATGGAACGGTAGAGAAGAACCCCACTGAATGTAGAATAAATTTCATCAGAGTCTGTATAGGCCAGCTTGCCCCCAGTAACTACAATGCTCACTTCAGCTCCAGCTTTGAGGTGAAGAACAAGATGAAAAGTCCCAGTTCCACCACAAGTCTGTTTCCCTGCTCTTGGTTTGTGATATTCAAGCAACTCTCTTCTGTAGCCTTCTGTATGGACCTGAGCAACACTCACATTGGAAACAGATAACACGGCTTCTATGTATTCATTCCTTTCTGGAGTTAGGACAGCTGTGATCAGATAACGACCTTCATATGGAGCTTTGAAGATGCCTGCAACAAACCCACAGCATTAATTAAAGTACAAGTCCAATGTAAAGTTGGAAAACCTACAGTTCCTTTTGTTGTCTCACAAGGTGCATAAGAAAAGCACTGAAAGAAGTCACGTAATTAAAAAAATGTTATTTCGTACAGCACAGGGAAGTTCTTCACATAATACTCTTAAACCATATGTGAACTCTTAACTCCTCCAAAAAATTACTGTACATTTTTATCTACTGATCCAACTGTGATATCACTAAGTCCCAAATGCATACAGAGGAATGCCATTATGTCAACCACTGCATTCTTCGGCTTTGCCACCTTCAAGGGAAACACTGCTCTCTGAATGACTATGCAATGTTAAGTAGGTCAAATCAGATGGATCTCACCAATGATAAAACACCAGCCAAAGGAGTTTAAGAGATGTTAAAATGAATAAGCTGAGTTCCCCACACCAACTAGAGTAGTAAACAATCCATAATTATTTCCTAATACTTTACAGGATGACTGTTATGCACTTTCCTCGGCCAACCCAGAAGAGGCATTTAAGAGAATCTTCAGGCACTCACTTTACATGTCTGCTCATCTCAATTCAGGAGTTCATGCAATTTATAGAGTAATGTGATGCAAACCGGCTCAATGAGAACAAATGACCAGGCTCATGTAACATGATCAGTCATAGTGGTGTAAGCCAGGGCAGCTTGCTGTGCCGTCTAGGTATGGTTTGTAAACCACTGTCAGGAGTTTGGTATCCATCTACTTTTTCAAAGCCACAAACTGATGATTCTTTGGCAAAAGCTCTTTATTTCAAATGTATATCCAGCAAGCAATAGCCAGGGAAGAGTCTCTGAGCATGCACAAAGTGGCTCACTGAACCCAAAATGGAAACTATTTTCAAGAAACCCTCTTTTGAGTAATCCTGGACCCCACCCCTTCTGGATATGGACAAGCCTCCTTCCTGTACACAGCCCCTGTAGGCGGACAGCTCTTCTCTCACAATGCCACATCATGGGGTCAAGGATTGTATTTGTCTCCTCCCCTCCTGGCACTTACAGACCTTGGTTATTCTCCTGGAATAATACCTGGAGATGCCAGCCTTGAAATAAGCTTTTCTGCCTCCAACACCTCTACTTCTGTTGCCCCCCTTTCCCAAGCCTCCTCCCCTTCTAAAAAACCTGTCGCCCCGGCCCTGAAACATGCACCAAGAACAACTTCCTCTGCCCAACAACCACTGGCTGGATTCAGATGACATGACAAGCCACCCCTAGGTTTATAACCCATTATGAATTAGTGTGTTGTGTTAGCCTAATCAAAGTCTCTGTGTATGACGCACAAATATATAGCTCAGCCTTCTTATAGTTGATGCCCCCGATCCTATGGCCCCCTGATATTGTCTGCAGAGCCATAGGATTTCTTGATGTCTCAGCTCTGAGATCCTGTGACCTTAGATTCTGCTATGCCCCCACACTCCTGCAATGGATGTGGAAAGCCAGCTGCCTCTGAGTATGCAAAACTGAGCCTTGGGGAACACAAGAGTGGCATGCCAAGAGGTGAATAGGGAAGAGGCTAGAGCTGTTGCCTTACACCAATTCCTATGGGTGCCCCAGCATTCTTCCATCTGTGGCACTAAATCTGGATGGCTGAAAATGTCCATCTAAAGTAAATACAAGGGGCACAGTCTGCCACCGTGATCACCACTGACGCACCTGACTCCAGAGGCTTGTGCTCCTGAGCACACTTGATATGCATATCTATTCACTTGCTTGTTAACAATGACATAAGACATGGGCAAATGGAAGGGAGAGAATCTGTCATGAACCAACTACAGCAGTGAAAAGTTTGTTCTTTGAGCACCATTGATAAACCACCTGAGCTGGCACTATTGCAAAAAGTGCCTGTTATCACTAATCGCAAAATAGTCAAATAAGCAAAGAGGATGGATAAATGAAACTAGAGGAAGCAGAAACTCTATTTTTCCAACTGGGGTTGTTCGTCAGATGATCAAAGTTTATTCCTGACTGATACCAATCTTTTGGCTGAAGAGTAACTCTTCCACACTTGTGGGACAGGTTCCTCTTAAAATCAGACCTGCATGTCTTGTTCAGGTTTTTTGTCTGAGAATGACCAAATGCATTGTTTCAGCACATGATCATATTTCATTGTATTTCCATATTCTGTAATCTTTGACTGGTCTCTTACTGAATACAGCACCAAGCAGAAAAATACTAATGCCACTGGTATTGCCCAGGTTTCCCTTTGTTCTTTACATATACTTTTCTTACCTGTGCTGGGGTTATAATGATTTCCATCATTTACAAGAACTTTGTTAAAATGTACCACACCCACACCATTAGGGAAAGGCCTCTGAGTGAGGCCAGCAGAGAAGGATACCAGTGAAGTGACAGTTGCTCCTAGAAAATGGAAATAACTATATTATTTATGCATTCAGGAAAAATAATATATACCATTAAAAACACTTTATCTGGTGTAAAACAAATCAAATTTCTTCTTAATTGAATAACTTAGCAGGAACAAAACAGACACAAATTTGCATCCGCAAAAGTTCTTCATCTATTTGCACGTAATTTTTCCTACTATCTACAAGGTGGATCAGAATATTTTTATTATCACATTTAGTAATCTGTCAAGCAGAAATCACTAGTCCCAAAGGGCAAACTATAGCTCAGCCTTTTCTCTGAGTCAAGATTCTGGCATATTAGTACATGCAGTTACTCTGGATAAAGGCTTGCAAGACAATTATAAGCAAAGGATTGGAAAAGCCATGGTAAGCAGATCAGATAAAGAAGTCCTGAAAGGTAATTGGACAATCCCAAAGCCATGTCTCACTGAGGAGAGATGGCTTTGCGATTTATGTCAAATGTGACATAAGCTGCCACATTTGAAGCCCATATGAATATCACACCCACTGATGGAAGCTGCTGGAAAGCATGCCATATGGTAGTAGAATTCACTGTGCAAACAGCTCATCATGTGGAACTTTTCATGCAACACTGGCTTGTTCTATAGCAAAAAGTGCACATTAAGTGCAACTAGCTTATTTTGGACTCAACCCCATATGACTATATAAGCTATCATGCTGCATTGAGCCGAACAATGTCAAAAGACAACACCATCACATTGTGGAGACAGCCTTCAAGGTTATTTCTAAGTGGCTTTATATAGGACTGCACTTTTAGTTAATTTTTACTCACCTAGGGTTAATCATGTACATAGCAATTTCTTTAAACAAATCTGCATTTCCTATGATGTATTTGGTGCTGCTCTCTTATGTAATAATATTAACATTTTTAAACCACTCTTCCTATTGCACTCATTGATTTTCAGGTAGGTTAGCTCCATCAATTGAATAAAGATAAATTACTGGAAAACTATATAATTTGAGTAGGTTCCTGTTAAAGAATAAACTCACAAGTGTATTATGCCTTGCTACACAACTGCAAAACATAATAATGAAATTGACTACTATTTAAACCTTATTTCAGATTCTTAAGTGGTGATGCTTTGGACAATGAATCCACAAATAACCTAATGTGAACCAAATGAATTTATTCAAACATTAGCAGTGTTGTGTGCTTTCTGCATATTTTTTCTAACAGTCGCCTGCAGAGACAGAGCTCTGGAGAATGTCAACGACCAACTGGCCGTTATGCTCAATTTAATTTGGTTGTCCTGTTCTTAGCCTTGAATGGGGATAATCAACCATCCTTGATGCAGATCTTTGAATCTCTCTGCATGTTGTTGTGCAAATTATGTACAGATACAAAGGTGCTGCTATTTGGTACTATGTTGGGGATGCAGTTTGCATGTCACTCATAATGCTTCCTGTTTCTCCAGCCATGGTACTGATATATGCCCATTTTTAGCATTGGCCTGTGCATTGTAGCTTGTATAACTGAGAGGAGGGAATACTGCAGCATTCTCTTCAAAAGAGATGGGAAACAACAACCAGGCATTCAAGAATTCTCCCTCTGATTGCTTTTATTCTGCTCAAAGTACTATAGTAAGTCAGTTTCACATTTTGAAACTATGTTAAGAGCAATAGTTCCTTGTTTCAGGAATAACAGCCACCTGAAAAAGCAATTGTGGCATACACTGCTTTAATAAATATCTGCAAGAAAGTTAGAGGAATTAGTGCAGAGATAATCTGAGTAACAACTGGATTACCTTCTGTAGCTGTAGGTGGACGCTTTGATGGTTTTAGATAACCTACAAAGCAAAGGTCATAGGTATGATAAATATATACCTCGGATATTGCAGCCTTATAATGCTGTCCTCACTCCTGTCAAGTAGCCTTCATTTCAGTACCAATATATGACTACTGCAGCCCTTAAACATTATTTGGAGTGATTCATTTGCCATTGGCATCACTCTAGACTGTTTTTGGTTTGATTACTGCTATTTAAAATGAACTTAGAGAACAATGCTGAGAGTACTCCAATTCTTTCCTTTTAGACTGGTTTAGTAGTGAAACATGGGAGAAAGAAATTGCTTCCTGCTATCTCTACCATGTGAGAAACAAGCAGTATTCCAAAAGATAAAACTTACTATTTGCTCAAACAAAAACATGTGGGGCAGTGAACTGTTAAAAAAACCTTAAAATTGTGATGGGGGGGGCAGGGGGGATACTTACAAACATTAGACTTCCTAGAGCTAAACATTTTTCCTATGGGCAAATATTATCAGATGTCACAAAGTCATTCCATGAACGCTACTGCCATTCATTATTAACTACTACAAAGGAAATGACTTTTTTTATTACAACGCATTCAACTCCTTGTGGGTTCCATAAAAAAACATGAAAGAATTGAGAGATGGAGGACTGTAATTTCCTTGGTGCTACTAAAGGCTAAATTATTTTCTGAGATGATCAGGGCCTTAACTCTCAATGAACCAGTTGAAGAAATCACAGCAACTCACAGTGGTTTCATTTACAGAACCACCACCTGGGCACAGCATATTATGCTGTTTGAACCAGGACAGTACAGCTCGTTGGCAGGTTATACCAGCACTCAAATTACACTAACCAACCCACAAGTTATTTGAGGATTGTCATTCTGCCTAAGTTTAGACAACATGGTTGGTTATTATGCAAATCAAGCCACAGTGTCTTATTTAGATGGCTTGTAATTATGCAAACCAAGTCAAACTGAGTTCAGACAACAATATAAACCACATTCATATGGGTTGAAGTGCTGTTGAACTCTTGAGTTGTTTGAACCCAGCTAAAATAACCAACCATGGTAAACAGGTCCACAGTTCATAAAACAATAATCAGTACATTCTGTTCATTGTTCTAGTCATGGCTTGTTAGCACAACAGACTCAGACAATGTGGTAACCCATGTTTCAACAACCTATACTCAGCTCATACTCAACCCTTCCCATGTTGTCCAAAGCCAGTCTCCCTGTTTTCAGTGCTAGGGCAGAGCCCAAACAATGTAATAGCAGTGTGATTCTGAAAATATCCAGAGTGTGTTTCTTTTACTGCTGAGTTATCAAAACTTACCCCCTGCCACATGAAAGACATAGGGGGATCTCTCCTCTGCCATGGCTTTAGAGAGATGTCAGCTCTAGAATCCTCTTTCAGAAATTGTAGTAACCTTATAACCATCCCCCATATGTTTGGGGGACTCTGAATCTTGTAGTGATACTAATCCCCCAATCCCATCAACAAATTCAGTCTAAAGAGAACTAAGCATGCACAGTCCAATGAAGTGCTGAAATGCAGAAAAACAGCAGAAGGAGAGCAGAATGGCTGCTGAAAAATGTAGCAGCTAATTGCAAACTTTAACAGGATCACTCCTACTAGAAGGTGAGGATGCACATCAACATTATATTGCAAGTCTCACATGTTACAGTCATAATGGAGATTTTCACATCAGATGCAGTTTTCTCCCTGTATAATTTATTAACCGACTGACCTGACCCATCTGTACTTGTTCTGGAAATTTTGTTGGTACAGCTCAAATCACAACTTTTTTTTACATAAAATATCTAATTTCTAGATTCTAGCTAGTACAAGGGCATGCAAATTTTGTCAATGACTGGAAAGATCACATCAGTCAAACCAAATTTTGGATTTACTCACCTGGTGCTCCAGCATAGCCTTCAAAAACAAGCAAGTTATTTTGACCATCTAGGCCATCAATACTTTTTGGCTGCCCTCTTCCTGACATTAAAACAGTCCCAGGAGGGCCTGCTTGCCCAGTTTCCATAAATATCCCACTTGATCCAGGCAAAGAAGGTAAGCGTGATCGTGATCCTGGTAAAGATGGTTGTGGAAGAATTCCAGAATCTGGTGGCTGAAGAGGAATTCCTTGCAATGGTGGTTGTATGATTATTTGTGGATGTGGTAGGTCTAAAGGTTTTCTTGGTTCTGGAATTTGTGGTGGGGGTCTTGGTTGTGATGGGTGCACACGGTCCCCTGGTCGTGGCTGTAGTGGAATTCCTTGCTGTGATGGTGCTGGGAATGTTCCCATTTGGGGTGGCTGCAATGGTTTTCTTGGATCTGATGGTGGCAGGGGGATCCTTTGCTGTGGTTTTCTTGGTGATGGCACTGATGGTTTTTCAGCTAAAGTTTTGTAAAGAGAGAAACGTTCTCTAGTTAGTTAACTGAAGTTGAAGAATATATTTATGAAGCAACTTGAAAATCTCAGTAATGAAACAGAACATTTATGGTACCATCACACTGCTTCATTCACACAATTGCAGGGGTGGGGGGAATTCAGATGTTGTTATTTTCCACTCATAGCTTTTCTGTGTGTCCTAATTGATCCTTTCATCGCTTTCCTTACTGTGGAAAACCCATAAAAAAAAAGAATTGCTGCCTAATGCTCCCCCTGACCATTAGCTTTAGAAGCCCTCTTTCTGGAAGCACCTTTAAAGCCTAGTCATATATGCTGCTGTTTTAAAATACAGAAAGTCTGAGCCAAGCAGACAATCACAACAACAAAGTAGGCCTACATACTGTGGTCAGTATTTGCTAGATAAATGTTCACTGAGAGAATTCTTAGACATGCTTATTGAGAGCCAGTGTGGTGTAGTGGTTAAGAGCACGGGACTGGGACTCAGGCGATCTGGGTTCTAGTCCCCGCTCAGCCATGGAGCCAACTGGGTGATTTTGGGCCAGTCACAGCCCAGACTCTCAGCCCAACCTACCTCACAGGGTTGTTGATGTGGGGATAAGATGGAGGAGGAGAATGATGTAAGCTGCCTTGAGCACTTTGAGGAAAAATAAACAAATAAATGGACAAACCAGACAAATATTTGCAAGCTCTTTCAGTGTTAAAATACTGCACAAAGTTTACTGATATAAGTGGGAGCTAGCTGGAAATTGCATTAGGAGCTGAACTGTCAGTTAAAATTGAACTCGGGATTGAAGTGAGAAGTCAGCTGTTTGACACCTCTTGTTGAAGGAATCTGAATAGTTCTTCATTGGGGAAAACACAGATGAAGTCTAGAGTTAAGGCATAAAGTTAGAACATCTTAGAAACACAAACATTAAACTGAGCTTTTTTCCTTCAGTAGCCATGACAATAGCCTGAGCTCTGTATTGAAACATGAAATGGAATAAAGATCTCCATAGGTAATACTATAATGTATTCATCAGCATAATACTACTTTTTAGTAGGATGGTCCTTTATGCTTTTGGGGGGGGGGGGAGAACAAAAGTATCAATCACTAAAAAGAAAAGATGACATAGATATGCATAAAATTTGCATGTGCAGATTTATAAGTACATCTGATAAACATGATTTTAATTCAGATAGAAATGCAATATATCTCACCATAGTGAGGAAGACTATGACCAGGTGACAAATGTGACTCACTTTGTCTGCCAGCCAGGTGCTCAGATGATGGGCAGCTTCACGTCATCTGCTGTTCTCTCTTTTTATACACCTTTGAAGCAGACTTGGACTGGACAGCATTTCAAATAGAGAAATGTTCCTCTCTCCAACAGAGCACATGGCTACCCTACTTTTAAGGTTCACACATGATCCCATACATTAATACACAATTTCCCTTCAAACTCCCCCAACTCTCATTCATGATAATCTAGTTAAAATCCTACCATTTTTATGTTGACATATTGCCCTGAAACTAGCAAGGTGTCATTGTGTTTGCAATAGTTTCACATTAGAATCCTACATATATCTACTCAAAAGAGTTCAATGGGACTTACTCCCAACTTCAATGGGAATAGAACTGAAGCATCAGTTCAGTATACATCCTCAGTCTGCAGCACAGAATTAAGAACCAATCTTTTTAGTTTAGCATTTCTTTCCTTTTTAGTTTTAAAATTCTCCAATCAAATACTTCTTAGTGTTGGATTTGTTCACAGATTTTTGTGAGTGATAAGCTTACAGAGATATCAAATTCAGTCATGATTAGACAGACAGGTGGTGATTCAGATTCCAATAAGACATCTATGAAAGGTGGAACTTTGAGTGATAATGCAGGTGTTTCCCTTTCCCTTGCCAGCAGGGCAAAAGCCCTGCTTGGGTAGACAGAAATGCACATGGTAGACACTCACCACTAAATAATGTATCAAGGATGCTCAATGCAATGTACAAAGCACTGTGGATCTATGAAGAGTAACATTTTGCCATTGAATCACACACTAGACTGGACTTTTTCACAAAGTAATAGGACTTTTTTTAAGCTATTAGAGTGATGAAAAGTAGTATTTATTTATTTATTTATTTATTTAAAACATTTCTACGCCTCCCCCATCGCAACAAAGCCTCGGGGCGGCTCACAACAACAAAAAAATTAGCTTCTTCTGTTACAATCCATAAAGCATCTTTAGTTTTCATACACTACTTTTTGAACCTTCAAAGTAGTAGGGCCATTTATCCTCAATCTGAAGGGCTGTTCAGTCCATGATTTTTAACTGCAAATCTTTAGCAGAACACGATCTGTAACTCAGACAGCATCATACCAATCACCAGGCATTCCTATGGCAGCTGCATCTAGAATGTCCACTAGCAGTGGCTACAGTTAGTGATAAACTAGGTCTACTACACTACTCACTACATTTAGAGAACACAAGAAAAGTAATTCTCATCCTTGGTTCTCATGAATCATGAAAAGTACTTCAGAATTACTTGTGGAATGAATACAGAAAAAAATTATGCACACCTTAACAAACAAACTCGAGGATGAAGGATCAAGTGGAAGTCTTTTAGCAAACATGTGAGTTAGGCACCCATGTGATTTTAGCAACTCAGTGAGAAGGTCGGGGCAGTCACTTCTTTCCTGCCCTTTTCTAATAAATAAATTAGTTTCCCAGATAAAGAAATCAAATTATATCAATAAAATCAAGTGCAACAGGCAAAATGTGTAGAGGGTTAGGGTGAATACTATTAGCATAACTTACTTTGCCTCATGTGTGACTTTCTATAAGTTGGACAGAAGTCATAGACATTTGCTTAGAGTAATGTTGCTCAGGGAAGGTGTTCATTCCCTTGAAGCCAAGGCTACAGACTTGGAGAAGTGGAAAGAGGTAGTGAGGCTGCTGAATGTATCCTTTGAGGACCAAACAGGGATCCTTGGGTGCCAACTCCTCTCTGGGGAAGGAGGGTGTCATTCTGAGAAAGAGGATGATCCCTTAGAAGGGTTTTGGATGACAAATGCCCTTTGACACTGAGGATGTCTCCAGGGGGCAGGAAATTGAAGATTCAGTCATTAGACTCATATTTATTTATTTGGAGATCTTATATGTGGCCCCATTCGCATAAGCCTCAGGGCGGCTTCCAAACATAAATAAATATAAATGATACAATTACATAAAATATTGGAGACATTCTGGTGGGAAATTATTAAAATCAATAAATAAAGTTAACAATTAAAATAACATTGAAATTAAAAGGTCTTGGCCTGGTGCTGAAAGGCAAATAACAATGACACCAGGCGGACATCTCTGGGGAGCACGTTCCATAAGTTGGGCACCACCGCAGAGAAAGCCCTCCTCCGGGTACTCACCTTCCTAATATCTTTCACGGAGGGTTCCCGGAGAAGGGCCTCTGCCGCCAGTCTCAAGGGGTGCGAGGGCATATATGGACGTAAGCGCTCCTTTAGGTAACCAGGTCCCAAGCTGTTAAGGGCTTTATAGGTAATAACCAGCACCTTGAATTGGGCCCGGACTTCAATGGGGAGCCAGTGAAGCTGACGGAGAACTGGAGTTATGTGAGCACAACACCCAGTCCCCGTCTTCAGATGGTGCAGCTCTGTTTTGCACCATCTGAGGTATCCGGACCGTCTTCAAGGGCAGCCCCACGTAGAGCGCATTACAGAAGTCTAATAGACAGATTGTTCTGTCACAATATAAATAAGCGAAAAGAAGCCTTCCTTCAGAAAATTAAATCTTGCCTTAATGAAGAGAGCTAAAGACAGCATGAGATTACTTTATTCTTGACAAAGGAGATGCAGGTATATAATAAAGAGATTTGGAGAAGCTTATTGCTAGCAACATAAAGGCCAAGAATAAAGAATTATTTATATATATCAGAAACAGGATACCAAAAAGGCCATTACAACAGAGTTAAAGTGCTAAAGGATGAAAAGGAGATTGCAGAGATGCTGGATATTCTACATCACTGCAGAAGATGTAGAATAGATACCCGTGCCTAAACTGATGTATTCAGGAAGGGAGTCTAACGAAGTGAAGCAAATGTTGGTGTTAAAAGATGACATTGTCAACCTTACTGACAATGTGATTATGTCAAATTAGATTCAGACGGTACCTATTTAAAAGAACTAAAATAAGAATTTGCTCCTATTATTACAAAAATATGTAACGTGTCTCTAACATCAGCCTCTTTATGAGAGTATTGGAGAATTTCCAATAAATCTAATTTTTTAGAAGGGATTTGGTAGGGGAGAATCTGGGAAAACTTAGCTGGTCACCTTGATATTTGTTCTGAGTAAATTGAGTGAAAATGTTGCTAAAGATATAATTAGTAAACACAGAGAAGAACAAGCCCATATGAAAAAGAATAAACATGGTTTTTACAAAGGTAGATCCTGTCTTACTAATCTTTTACAGTCTTTTAAAATGTCAATAAACATGTGGAATGGGATGATAACTTTTAACCAAGTCTTTAACCAAAGATCATGAGAATGTTACCAACCATGGAAACAAGAAAAGTTCTTATTGATCAGTTGCTAGTTAAAGAACAGAAAGTGGAAAATAGGAATAAATAGTAAATGTTACCAATAGAGGGATCCATATGGCGGAATCCCACAAGGAAATGTATTGGCACCAATGTTTTTCATCTCACTAATAAATAATTTGAAATTAGGAGGGAGCAGGGAGTTGCCAAGTTTGGTGTTGAAGCCATAAGCCAGGCCTGTAAAGGAGGGATGGCATCCATTTGAACCAGAATGGAACCAAACAGCTAACATGTGACATAAAAAGATGGCAGAGAAGATTTTATGCTATAACCTGTGGGAAAGCCAACAGGAGTTGGGAAAAATCCATTTGAGGTCAAAAGATCCCTTAGGTATTTCTATGCAAGTGCTAGAAGCCTTAAGACCAAAACGGGAGAGCTAGAGGCCGCTGTGATAAAG